ATGGAAGACGCCTCGAGCACTAACAGTTATCATTGCGTAGTTATATTGCGCACGCTATGGTACCATAACACACCATTGAACTCAAGTGGGCAGGCGTCGGGTATTAAAACTCATAATTAGCGTTAGAACAGCAACAATACAGCCGCGTGACCTTGATCTCGTTTCGAGCGCATATATACTCCGCTGGCCACCTGTACTCTGCAAAAATCGACCACAGTTTCGATCGAAAGGCGAAAAGAAACGAAATAGCAGCTTACATGCTCTTAATAACATGCTAAGTAGCTATAATTACATCCCTCAGCCTTTAAATTATGTTAGTGGAGTCGACTCCCTCTGCGATTAGTGTCACTTGTGTTCAATACAGTAGGTCATTTGAAAGTACGTATTTAATCAAAATCACTGTTGTTATGTCTTCAAATTCAAATCAGTCCACGATAAGGTCTAAGGCATATGCAATTTAGTCAAATATTAGCGATAATACAGCGATCGAAACAGAAGTTTCGTCACAGTCTGCTTACGTATCTGCACCTCGAAGATTATTTAGATTGTCCGCGCTGTGTATTGGATAAATATAGTATTCAGTCAGAATAGTAAAAGGTACCCTTACCGGATATTGTTTAGTTGCTGCAATTTCATATAATTTTGATGTAAGCACTTGCATAGGCAGGGCCATAAAAATAAAATCTTTATTTTAATATGCACAGAAAATACTTCTATTGATCTGTGTTAATATTTAAAGTTTTTATCTATACCAGCAATTTATATTTACGTGTTGTGCTTGAATATTACTTTGTTATTTTTAATAAAGATACTATTAGATAACCCAACTGTGTATCTAGGTAATCTTTTATTTTCAATACCTATTTCGATTTGATTAGGTTTTGTTTTTTAATTTTATCTACAATATATATTTTAATTATTAAGTATTATGACTAAGATACTGTAAAACAAATTTACGGTCGGTATATAAGTTATACAATATCATATTTAACCGTTTGTTGTTAATACGTATCAATACGTTCCGTACTTCGATGAATATAGCATAAAAGTGTCTTTTAATTATCACTACCACTAAGGTTGACCGGTTTACGTAAATCAGAGTAGTTATATTTAATTACTTAAAAGTTGATTTTGCGCGTAGAATGCAACATTAATTAACTTGCATACAAAATCATTTCTAGATTTCCGTTTACAACCTTCTCAAAAAATATGTATGAAAGAAGAGAATCTTACCATACTCCATCGAAACGGCTTAATTGATTTTTATACAATTTTATATGCATATTCAGTAGATCTGAGAATCGGCTATCTATTTTTCATACCCTAAAGTGTTTTTTTTTATAAAGTGTAATTAAAAAGTACATACAACCCTAAATTTACAGCCTTCTATCACCAATCCCTATTTTTAATAGCGATTTTAATTTATATAGCAAAACAACGTTTGCGGGTTCAGCTAGTAGAATATAAAATGAGTTTATTCGAATAAACTTATATTGAAGCACTGTTGAATTCATTCATTCATTCATAATTTAGAAGCGCCATTCTAGTCGGTGGATCTCTTGTCACTCTCCACGATTTTCCATCATACTCTTTTAAATCTTGATACGAAACTACTCCAATACACACTTTTGAAACGCCATCACATTTTTATATATGTACAATATTAGTTCCACAACTATATATTGGAATACGACGGAACTAACCAAATAAAATATATATTTATATACTAGGTATATGAAACCGGTTGAATTCAACAAAGTATTAACACGCAAATTCACTATGCAACCCACAAAACAACTATACCAATACGTAGGAAGTGAACGTGACCGTGATTACTATAGTAAAAAATTGTATAGCCACTATTAGGGAAGAAACAATGTCAATTATAACTCGAATTAGAGGATAGTGAATCGGAACCACACGACATATAAAAACAGAATCGTTTAATACAGGCATCGCTATACACTCGCAAATAATAAATAAATTGCTAGTGCTAATAATTTCGGCATAACTGAAGCTAACATCACAGGTCGTGATGTTTTATTTGAAAAAGTAATTCATCCTATATATAAGTATATTATTTTATTGTAATAATAATAATAATACTACTCTCAAGACAATTCACACAGCGCCATCTAGACCAGAGTTAAGCTAGCTAAAGCTTATGTTATGGGCAACAACTGATACAAATATTTTTTCGTAAATACATACAGATTATACATCGAATACAGTAATAAAAAAAAACTCCGACAGAGAAATGAGAAAGCTCTTCAACGAAGACAATTTTGAGGTTATAAAACAAAAGCCTGTCTAAAAGTCTTTTAATGTGCTTTTTTAGTGGACAATGACAATATGCACACTATAAAAATATATTATTTCATATCCTCCTAGGAGTTAATGTAACAATCATCAATCATCTTGGGTTCAATCCGTTAATTAACTAGGCTTCTTTGATTACAATTTCCCAGTAAAGCTATAAATTCTTGCATAACATTTACAATATAAGAAAAAAATGAACTTGTCGATGGCAATCAATCAAGTGCCTATCAAATTTTTGGATGGTCACTGAGTAGAGAAATAATGACTTGAATATTCATACTCATATACACCATAGACAACAAATTTACTACATAAAGTATATTATGAAATTATGTATGTATAGATATTTATAATTAAATATATACTAACCATTTATACGTATAATTCGTAAAAATCACGACATCTTGCCAAGTTTTATTTTAAACCCCATGTTTTTTACTAATTATACATATAAATAATGACCGAGTCAAATTTAAAACAGTATGTACTAGCCATCATCCGTGATACTATATATTTAAACAGCAGGTACCCTACGTCCTTAATAAAATCTGTTCATAATTAAAAATTTATTCTCAAAAATATTACTAAGAAATATAATATCATTTATAATATATAAAATAAAATACATGAATATTAAATCTATTTACATTCTTATTTTTCAATTAAGTAAAAATCTTTTATATATATTTAAGAAATAACTCACTTAACCATTGCAAAATTAGCCTTTCATTTACATGACCCGTGTTAAGCAATTAGAAGTAGGTACTACCTCGATAGAGTTTGCAGCATATTGAACAAACAATACAAATAATAAAAGATCAACATAGTATTGTGAATAAAAATTATAATACAAGTATCTTGACCGACAACTTTCGTTTTCACTATTAACAAAATGTTAACTATAATAATAATATTCTCAGGACATTTCACACAGCGCCATCTAGACCCAAGTTAAGCTAGCTAAAGCTTGTGTTATGGGTACTACACAACTGATATAAATACAAAGATATTTTTTATTTCGTAAATACATACATATTATACATAGAAAACACCGATACAAACAATTATATTTATGAATACAAATGTTTGTGCCGTGCGAGGAATCGAACCAGCGACCATCGGACGTAAAGCGGTGTGCTAGACCGCTAGACCACAGAGGTCGTCAATGAGTAGTCATATGAATGAATAGTGTTCTTTTCCCACACGCTAATTTATTTTTCTGAATGAAAGAGAACAATCCGTTTTTCTTTTAAATATCGTAGAATACATTAACTGTATATGTACCTATCATATAAAAAATGAGGTAGGATATAACTAAGATTATTAATATATTTTATACATATGTATATTATTGTAATTGATATGTATGTATATATGAGAACTATTATTAGGGGACTCCTTCGACGTAACAGAACACGAAACAATGTTTAGAATTTTTATCAATTTTTCTATACAGTAGCGTGGTCTAATTTTAAAAACGGCATTAGTTATTTCGGTGTAATTTTCACTAAAATACATATATAAGCATACATATATAGATAAGCTTTACTTAACATAATAAAGCTATAATTTATATATATTTATAATATATAGCTATAGTTTATAATACTATTGTTAGTTTTTCTGCGCGGTTCATAAATAAACAGTTATTACAAGAATATAAATTACAATAAGGTGTAAATTATATCAGTATTATAAATTGGTACAGGACATTATTAGAAATTAATAGTTTTAACACAGTAATTGAGTACTGTCCGCACTTGAGAAGTTATGCACCAAAGTTTGTTTAAAAATAAGTGATTTTTATAGTTTATAGTCGTATGATAAAAGTACCAATATTTAAAACTTGACTGTTCACACACTACATCTATAATAAATTAAAACACTTTCAATATGGACATTATGTACAGATATGGTGGCATCCCTAGGGCATGAAGTTTAGATATCCGACCGGTTATTGACAGTAACTTTCAAGCGGAAAGCTGACCATTACAACAGATAACATAATATACATAACTAACCATTTTCAGGTAAAAGTTTATTAACATTACCTATGCAGGGTAAAAAGAAACTCAGTAAGTCGCAATTATGGTAGTTTTGAACATTGTCATGATGCCAATAATAGACACCACTAGGGTTCTATAAATATAGCCAAAAATATATAATTGTCAAATCACTATTACTCCCTCCACAAGGACCTATTATAATACTCGGGGTATTACATATACATCACACTTTTTAAAGAAGGTTTTTAATATGATATTTAAGTCTGTAAAGAGAGAGAGGGAACGATCAAACGAGAAATGGCACAACGGCGTGAAACATAGGATGCTGGGCTGGGCTGATAAGGACCGATAGAAGATCACATATGTATCACATAGGTAAGGTAATAATGATGATATTTTAGCAAATATAAACGGTTCGATTTCGAGAAACATACATATTTATTACTTAACTAAAATAATTCTAAATAGTCCATTGTAACCACAAATAAAAACTTCAATGTCAAGTATTTTAACATAATATAATCCAGAGAAGAAAAGCGACTAATATTTTAGTGAATCAAACGGTTCTAATTCAAGAAAGATTCATTAATTAACTAAAACAGTTCATTGTACTCACAAATAGAAACTTCATAGATACTTTTTAGTATATCTGAAGAAGAAAAGCATAGTACTGACCTGTTTCTGACTGAAGACCGAGCTGACAGCGTAAGGTTCCTTTGCGGCAACCTGGGGGCTGGAGAAGGCGCCGGCGGGGGCGCCGGCGGCGAAGTCCGAGGCAGGCGACCACCGGCCGCCGCCGCGCCAGCCGCTAGCAACACTACTAACCACCAGGACATCACGAGAGCACGGCGCGCTCTACAACGTACAGACACGATCTACAACGCACGTACGATACCGGGTAACTCTCAGCGTAGTATGCGCTCTGAGCGACGTTCACTTTTGTTGTGCCAGTGGCGGGTGTTCGCCCCACTACGATGAAAGTCTGGGCTTTCACTGCAGTCACCGAGGCTCCGCTGCAGCTCAGAACAGAGCCAATACGCGGGCCTCTGCTGTCACGGACACATGTACACATGTACTGATTTTAGATATTTGAGATATCGAGTATTCCTTTTGGTTAGCTTTGTATTTGTTATTTTTATTGGAGGAAAATATATTTGCTATTAGCCATTATAGAGTTAAATAAACAAGTATTTATTAATCATGATATTTTTATATTCTACTAAATTAAGCAATTATTTAGTATTTTGACGGCTTCGACGGTCTAGCGGATTAGCACACTGCCTTACTTCCGATGGCCGCGGGTTCGATTCCTGCACGATACGATGCACGGCACAAACATTCATGAGTATGATTGTTTATATCGGTCTAGGTGTTTTCTATGAATACTATGTATGTGCTTACGAAAAAAAAATATATCTATGTATTTGTATCAGTTATCTAGTACCCATAACACAAGCTTTAGCTACCTTAACTTGGGTCTAAATTATGGTGTGTGAATTGTCCTGAGATTATTATTATTTAAAGTAATTTTTAAGACAAAACTCGGTAATATCTTACTTTTTCCACCATGTGTGAAAATCGTTTTTACATTAAATTAGGCACTGAAGCCCTAGCATTGCATTTCAATAACCCGGAGAGAGAGGTTCGTATCGAGTCCAATCTCAAATTGGCCCCCTGTGGAGCGTGGGCCCCACGTTGAGAAACACTGTCTAGACAATACATTTTTTTCGGAATTAAATATTACAAGTAGGAGACTGACATTTTTCCAACATGTGTTTTTGGGACGCCACGACTAAAAATCCTACTGAATAATAAATTCGCTGGATCGTAGTACTGTTATTTACAAAGCTTATCGAAAAATACTATTTTTTGAATTAATATTACATTTAAGTAGATGGGTGATTTACACACCTACATTTTTGTGATGACTCGACTGAAAATCCTACTGAATAATAAATTCGCTGGACTGTACTGATATTTAAACATTTACTTTACAAAGCGATTTTAGAGGTTCATAAGGGGGCGACCATAAATTACGTGAGGTGTTTTTTTAATATTCTGTCCGGCTCGTATCCAGGACCATAATTATGTTAAATGCTATAATTTGAAATCGACGGGATTATTAAAAGAATAAAAGAGATCATTCAATAATTTCAATCCTTTTTTATTTTTTTAAATGAATGTCATAATTTGGAATTTAGTATTTTATAAATAAGATGTTTGAAATGCGTTTTAAAAAATTAATAATATGGACATAGATCAATCGCCTAAAATAACTTAGTAGCAATTATATTAATTGAAAACTGGTGGCGTAAATAAAAGTGTCAGGCATCAACACTATTTATAGTTTACTAGCTACTCGGCCCGACTTCGCACGGGTGTACATGTATTTGTATATATAAACCTTCCTATTTAATCACTCTATCTATTAAAAAAACGGCTTCTCCGTTAGACGGATTATCCGTTGCGTAGTTTTAAAGATTTAAGCATACATAGGGACAGACAGCAACAGCAACTTTGTTTTATACTATGTAATAATGATAATGATGTTTAAACATATATTTTTATTACAAAAAACAAGTTAGTTATTTAAGTTTTTTTATGTTAAAAACTATGTGGGCAAACCTAGGTTTCTTCGAAACTATTTCTGCACCAAAAATAACCACCTATAAAATCATCTGGTACATCCTTATCCCATTTATTTGGGACGGCCTAATATTTTTCTCTTCCATTCATCTATGTTCGCAGTCATCTCGTTATTTACTCCCATACTTGCCATATCATCTTTCACACAGTCCATCCTTGTGCTATGCTCTTTTTCGGCCTTCCTCTGCCTTTATAATCATTCACATAAAAACAGGAAGGGATTTTTTAGAATAGAATAGAAAACAATTTATTCAAATAAACTTACATTGAAGCACTTTTGATTGTTAGTAATGTGGACTGATGACCCCATAGCTAGTATGTACCATGTCAGGTTGACCTTCACGCGGTTCCCTGGAAACCATAAATTTCTGGCGAATTTGTAACTGACCTGACATCATGCTCATTTTATCATCCTCCACTGGTGCCCCGCCAGGGTGAACCGTTAGCACAAGCGGGTGCACTATTATCATCCATTAAAAAAACACATATATATATAACTTCCTTAAAATATACTGACATAAATATAAACAATGATTAAATTGAAATTAACATTTATTAAAAATATCAATGGAATTAGGTCCTATACGGCACTATATTACTAACATTATATATCACACATTAACTATTCGAGAAATTCAGTACTTGAAAAACTAAGTTAACAAGTATGTATGTGCAGATTCTTATACTTTAGGGCAAGAAGTCTTCCTGAGATAATTCTTGCCGGAAGGAAGTGAGACCACTTTGACACCTTGTGGGAACACCTTGGGCAGCTGCTCTTCAGGCACCGTGGGCAGCACCATGCAATCATCACCCATCTGAAAATGAACTAAATGGTTTAGAAAAAAGAGTTATTTTTACTATACAGTACTCTATACAGAGTATACAATTCAATAATTACTACTAATTTATTTATTTATGTTACTGCCTGTTAATTATTACAACTTGATATTATGATAATAATAAATAAACCCAATATAATGACTAACGAATAGACAAAATTAAGACTAAATTCATATCAAATCTCTTTACGATCCACACAGCAGTTAGATCATGAAAAGGTAAGAAAATAGAGACATTGTGCTACTGTGATTGTATTGAAACAAAATTTTGGTACATAAATAAATTATTATTATTATTATTATTTTAATGCCACGTAATATAAATAAAATATAATAATACATAAATAAAAAACACGTAGAAAAAAAATGGGTTTTGTGCAAAAAATGAGCTACCCTTAACACTTAGGGGTATAAAAACGAGTCCCAAAACTGATATATTCCAAATGTTCCATTTCATTGGAATATATATATAGTTTAAATCATATAAAAAACGTACCTTCCAATCAACAGGGGTAGCAACCTTAGCTTTATCAGTCAATTGCAAAGAATCCAATACACGTAATATCTCACTGAAATAAAAAATAAATCAAATTCATATTCTTCATTTTCTATATTAATATCAAGACATAGCTTTAAACATTTAAAGCACATTATTATTAAGAATAGGAAATTGAAAATTGCATATCTATCTGACTAATATAAACATTAATGTTTGTGAGTATGGATGTTTGTTACTCTTCCACGCAAAAACTACTGAATAGATTCTGATGAAACTTCATAGTAACATAGCTTATACATCAGAAATACAAATTATATAAAATAATAAGTCTGCAATATATGATAAACTAGCTGTTCCCGCGACTTCGTCCGCGTGGAATTTTATTTTATTTTTCTAAAATAAAAGTAGCCTAAGTTACTCCTTATTACATCAATTATCTGCCAAAAAAAGTCCCGTTAAAATTGGTACAGCCATTTCAGAGATTAGCCGGAACAAACAGACCGACAACAGATAGAAATTGTAAAATGTGGTCTTTTGGTGTTGTACCGTATTTATATTCATATGCATGTAGTAAAAAATGGTTATTACAATACTACAAACAGACACTTCAATTTTATTTATATGTATAGATGTCAAGTAAGTGTGATGCAGATGGAGCCTCGCTACTCAGCTAGTTACTTATAATTTAGCTACTTAAATTATACCAGAGAATACAATTAACTAATTTATATATATTTTTAAATCATAACTGTTTTAAGAGACATTAATAATACTAACTCAAAGTTTCTCCCAGTAGTGGCCGGATATAGGAACGATAATCGGAACTTCTTATTAGAATCCACAATGAAAACTGCACGGGCTGTGAGAGGTATACCATTTGCATCCAATTCATCTTTATCCACCATACCTAACTTTGTAGCGACAGTGCGGTCCTTGTCTTCTATTATTGGATATGGGAACTTATCATCTTCATTATAACCTGAAATTTGTATCACGATAGGTCAATCCTTGTTATTTTTTATTTTTACATGGATAATTAAAAAGTGCATCCGCCTGCGCTAACGGTTTATGCAGGCGGGGCACCAGTGGAGGATGATAAGATGAGCATGAGGTCCATGTCAGTTCGCATATTGTGATTAAATAACCACTATTGTTTCCAGGGTCCCCAATAGGCAATTGTTAGTAATGAGGTCACATGTTATTAAGGAGATGTGTATGTGTGTATGCGTATGTGTGAGCAACCTTCTGAAACTTTGACTGCGCTATGTAGTCCACATAGCGCAGTCAAAGTTGCAGAAGGTTTCAGAAGGTTGCTCACACATACGCAACTCTAACAAAAGGTTAAGAGAAGGAACACCACAAGAGTCCGGTAGGACCTACCCTGGGGCTAATGGGTCCCCATGAGGTAATATTATAACAAGTAGTGACATTTTTTGTTTTTTTTTAACTTGGTATACTATTACTATGCTAGTATGAATCCAATATTTACACACAACACATTGCATTTTTTTATATAAAGCTGGGTTTCTTAGTAGTATTACTGTGGTCATAATTTCGAACACAGAAAATTGTATAACTGAAATTAGAATTGAAAAAAAATGGGGAATGACTCTTATTGAAATACTTGGTTGTTCTGTGAAGGTTTTCTATTAAAGTAATAAATTCCCAAATTGATTAAATCAAATGAAATACAAAATCTTAGGATATTTTAACTGCTTATAAATGTTTAAAATTTTTCGTATGAAATTACTACCACATTAACTTCTAAAATATGGTTATTGACCCTTATTTATTCCTATTGATTTGTTAATCTATTGCTGAGGACAATAATGAGGTATTAAGGAAGATAAACACTGTATGTTATATGTCTATTGATTGTAATTATCCACTGCCATTCAATAATCTTAACCAACACCAAACCCAATAAAAATAATAATAATAATCATATTATAACAATGTAAGTTTAATACCTGCATAGCATTTGATATCCTTGCACCACTCTATATGAGAAGATATTGAGTCACATGACAAGCCAATAACTTTCACATTCCGCTTTGTGAACTCCGGTAGTAGATTGAGAACTCGGGCAAGCTCTGTTGTACACACAGGTGTAAAATCAGATGGATGGGAAAACAGGACTCCCCAACTGAAAATTCAAAATATCTTTATTCATGTAGGTCCTTACAGACTCTTATGACATGTCAAATCTATCTTAATTTCTGAATCATTTTCAGATTAAAAGAACTGACAAGAAACTCTGCTCGTATTCATTTTAAATAAATGTTGTACTTTAATATCAACATTTGAAAACTCTAGTACAACACTAACATTTCTATTTCAATCGGTGATCAGTCACAAGACTATAAGCAGATGTGTTGAGTGCTACTTGATTTGCGATGAAGAGGCCGGCCACTTCTGCCTTACTACATCACATTCCTTCTCTAGTCTTTTGACTGTATGAGAAGGATCAACAGTAAGTAGTCGAGTACAACAATTACAATAGGTACAGGAAATAATACTGAATGAGACATTTGTAACCACACCATGTGGCACTTTCCCCAGATGATATATAAAATATAACATGATCACAGTATATTACTTACTAATTGTACTAAACTTTAATAAAAAGTATACTTACGAATCTCCTAGCCAATCGTGAAAGGCTATTTCTCCTTCAGTTGTATTTGCGGTGAAATTTGGAAAAACATCTCCCAAAAGTAACATTTTAATTTAAGCAAATGGATGACAAAATCCAATAATTACACAATTTATGAATGTATGTTACTAATAGTATTCATATATCCTGCTTTTTTTAAGAAATTGACAAATTCTATTTTCAAATAAGTCTTTTTCATATATAAGAAAAAGTTTAATGTATAAAATACTATTTTAAAAATTCAAGATTAACAGAAAAAGTTTTGATAAATGTATGTTTCCACAGAATTTCACAATAAGCGTGTTAGCTCTTTATATTTTAAGTATGATAAGTTCAATGTTTTTCCATTTTAAATTAATAGGTTAGTAATTATACATGTAAATATAAAATATAATATACTATAGATAGAGTACTCCTATAGCACAGATTACTATCACAGGTATCACAGAGCAGTAAAATATTATGGAGTAAATTTAAATAAAGATTACGGTATACTGTTACAGTTTGACATTAGCTTATCCTAACGATGCTGATGTACCATCGGTTAAAAAACATACATTTTATCATTACTTTAGAAATGTCTAAACTTGTAAATATCTTGGCATCCTTTCTAGCGTATGTCCATTTTTCCGATTAGCTCCAACGTTAAATGGCCCCAAAAAATGTAACATAAATTAAAAACTAAATTCGAGCCAATCGACTATGTATCAGCAGCCTAAGCAACTGTATAATGTCTTAATGACAGAGATGCTGCCATATAATCTACTACAATTAAATATTGCTAAAATTTCCGCAACACCTAGGAAATATTAAAACTGCCAAAATAACTAAAACTTTCATTCCTATAGAACTTAACTTCCATAAAAAGTAAACAAAGGGGTCACAGGCACGTCTAGTGATGACCAAAATCAGTATGAATCAATAATCGTATTGGATATTTCGATTAATATATTGAATGATTCGCTTTACTACTTTGAGCATACGGTACTATATAAAGATTAGACTAAGACTCGACCCATTGGCTGTGTGGCATGCGGCCAACAGCATTAGAGTAATCCGAAAAAATAACAAAAAAAAAGGCTGTGCGGCCAGATATTGCATCCTTGTGCATTTTCTACCGCATATATCACGGTGAGTGTTTTGAGGAATAGTTCGGATTAACACCGACTGCTGATTTTCACCTCCGTACCACCCGGCAGAAACTAAAATACCATCCGGGGTCATTTGGATAAATAGCGGTCCTCTATAGAGCGGTTTTCTAGAAACTTTTTAGCACGCACAACTGCATTACGGAATGACCTTCCCACAATGGTATTTCCGAACCGATATGATATTGAAACCTTCAAGAAAAGAGCTTATTTCTTTTTAAAAGGCCGGCAACGCATTTACAATTCCCCTGGCGAGTGCACATGGGCTCTTCAATCACTTACAATGACCAACTTCAAATATCAATCATTTTAAAACAGAAGAGCATTATTTGCTTCCTCTACCTTTTCTACTATGTAAGGTTATATTTAATTTACTGACAAGGAGTTTAAATTGATATTTAAATCACGAAGGAACATGAAGAGTTGAAAATAATTTATGACCAGAAAATCCTCAACACCAATACTCAACCCATAGTCATAAAGTCTCCACAATTATGGGGAGTTTTGCTCAATGAGGTATTATGGCCTACCATAAATTTATTGTCTCTATAAATATAAGGATGGGAATTTTGCTATAAAAATCGATTGTTTTTCTTTGTTGAATGAATAATTGATGCTTACAATAGATATTTTGAGAAATTTTAATTTTTTTAAATATACTTAACTCTTTAATATTTTATCTAGGTGATATATATAGTTTTATAGATATTTACTTGCGTCAAACTCATTTATCTTCTTTATAGGATAAAAATCATGAGAGGAAAAAAACAGTTTTTAGGTAATTTATCTTAATCAATCTATTATCACATCAAACACCATTAACCACAATAATATTATTATTGGAAATATATCCACATGTATGTAATCACAAAGAAATATATAAACGTCTATATCAACTCTGTATTTAAATTAAAAAATATTTTTCAAGCATTATATTTTCTAATATGCTGCAATATTGTGCTACACTTGATTCGGATTTCCTTAATATATATTATACATTATTTTTTTACATACTATTAATATTTTAGAAAGACAACAGATCAGAAAAAATAGAATAGTTGAGAATTTATAATTTTTAAGATAAAAATACACCGTAAATAAAGAATTTAGGAAAGATCATTCAAATATGCAAACAGATATAATCGTAATTTATTATGGAGAGACATTAAAAATCATAGGTACATTCTTTTTTATATTGACAAATTTGAATGGCCGGTATGGTACCATAACTTCACGTATCCATACTAGATGGTACAAACTAATTATAACTACCTACATACGTCATTTATTTAAGTTTGTACATGAATGTATCGAACATTAATGTACAATCATGTTCATTACCATTCATGTACAATCTTTAAATACTAAGTTTGCAATTTAGAAATTTTATAACATATTTTAATTATTTACACAAGTTTAGAATATGGGAACTATGAATTTTTAGCGGAAAAATTTTCTAAATAATTATTCCGAACGTTATAATAATATCCCAATTCTTTTATAAATTCTGAGACTCTTATATAACCTTGTGAAATAGATATACTTGAAAATATTATTGTTTTAGAGACATAAAGATTACGAAAGTCGTCGTCATAGAATTAAAGTCTCAAATCGTGTATGGTCTTAATCGAATAATCGATTTAATTGATTATCCGCCAAACAGGCAACACCACAGTACTCGCTACGCTAATCAATGGCGAATAGCAACGGCTTATTAGCGTCACCGTCAATGACCCAACCCGATAAATGAATTTGTAAATTTCAACTATATACGCAACGTGTTGATATTTAGTTTACAGTTTTTTTTCTTTATATCTTCATAAGGTAAGCGACACTTCATTTGATTTATCTTTTCCGTTTGTATTACAACAAAAAACTTGTGTTCCGATTCTACACAAAATGGACGTCAAATAGTATTGTGACGTGATTATGTAAAAATGAATAACATATCTGTGGGTATTTACTATTTTTTCATGAATTTGCGACAAATACAAAGGTACATGTATTTTTTAAATTTGTATGTGAAAGATTTCATGAATGTAAATATATCATAGAAGCCATTGTGACTATTGTTAGCGGTCTGCCACGGTAATGAAGATGAGGCATGGCGATGACTAGCCTTACAATAAATGTGAGCTGTCTGCTTGTTGAATAATATGATACGAATAGCGATCTCTTTGTTTCTATATTTATTTCAGTCTATCTTCCTGCTGCTATTTTATTTTATTTACATCACGTCTATTACGGTCATTGCCCTCTTAATTTTAGTCTATTATAGATATATATGTAGGTCTCAAATGTATTGTATTACTATCGTAGTGTATGTCATAATTTGGGTCCAATTAATAAAGATTGTTTATTAACCTCAAATTAAGGCAATTTACTAATATTTTATTAAAAATTCATATTTAGTAGCTGCAGATTACTATATTATATTTAAAAATATTGTTTGGCTGTGCTAGACTTTTTTTGCACGTTTAGCTATTCCTTTATATTTTTATCTCTATGTAATTTATATATTTTATTGCACATTATATTATTTGTAGTATTTACAGCAGCACATTGTTCTAAGAAAAATAATTGTGTGCGAATTTTAATTTAGGCTATATTAATCCCTTATTATTGCATTATATAGCACACCTATTACAGTTCAGAATAACTCAAAATTTTAAACAATTTGAATTACAGTTTTAAGTTGAATACTTAGGGTTGATTTTCTAATATTTTAAATTTTCAATTCCATACTGTATTAGGTGTGTGTGTAACTATAGATAAGTATCATACATGATAGTTTAATGTGGCACTGGCCGCTTAGCGTTATTATATGTATATGTATATATATATATATATCTATTATGCAGTGTTTCCCAATTAGTGGTATGCATACCCCAGGGGTATGTGACGTTGCGTCAAGGGGTACATGTGGCTATCAGTATAACACACACACACTCCCAAACTATCATATTTATAATATTAGTGAGATTTGTACAATAAGGTGTACACGAGGTTTGATGTCTTTTTGAAGTGGTACGCAACAAAAACTAATTGGGAACCACTGGTCTATTGCATGTCCAAAATTTGAGGCTACATTAGTTTTAATTCCCTCTTAATGTGTATATGGCACACCTAATTCAATACAAAAGAACTAAAAAATTTTATAATTAAAATTAGATTTTAAAGTTAAATAGTTAGGGTAGATTTTCCAAAATTTGTATATTTTGAGTTCATTCCGTATTGTATTAGGTGTATGCATTATGTATCATACTTCAGTGTGGCACTGGCCGCTTAGCGTTATTGTCTATTGCATGACCAAAATTTGGCGCTACGTTAATTTGTTTTTTTTGGATATGCTACTGTCATCTGTAAGGATCTTGAATAAATTCTCACTTTTTCATAGCAGTACTGTATGCATGGAATTTGAATGGTATTACACCTGTAGGGTAATAGTGTATCCAATCACTCAAATCGATTGAGTGATTGGTATGTTCAGTTTAGTGTAAATAAAATAAATTGTTATTGTTTATAAAAATGTACAGTTTTGTACCATTACTAATCATTTAATTAAAATAATTAATATTTGATTAAAGTAGAAGTGTATTTGCAGTATTATTCTACAATTTTATTTAATAAAATCTGCAACACAGGTACATAGAATTGCTGTTAAGATTTACTATGAGAATATATCTTTTGGTTACTAAATGCACAGAAGATTTATTTCATTACTCTTTCAATTACAAATTAAGAGCACTGGTTTCAATTTTGGTAACAAAACATTTAAAAAATGTATAAATCCTAAAATTTCATACTGGGGTGCCCACTGTATTGAAGCCTAAAAGACCATTGATGGTGTTTTCACACATGTGAACTACTGCTTCAATGAATATCATTCATAAATGTAAAGGATTACATCATATCATAATTACGCATGAAAAGTGTATACCCTATAGCAATCTAAAAAATAAACATCGTCCAGCCATACATCAAATAAATTTTGAAATGGAAAACCTTAAATATATATTGTTTATCACAGAGTATTTACTCACTTCATTTGATGCCTTTGAACTGGTCATAAAGAAAAACAACCACTATTCATATAGTGGAAACCAATCTGATATGCTTTAAAGGGAAGTTTTTTCCTACTTGCCATATTCACCCAACATAGTCTCCTCCGATTTTTAGTTATTTTGTTTCATAGTGTATGGCCTGGTGCTTTTATTCTTATAAAGAATGGATTGACAGCCGCAAAAACATATAATTTCGTAACTCATTTACAGCCAGATAGATGGGAGAAAGAAGAGTGGTCTCCAGCAATGGGCAATACTTGTGAAATGTTTTGTTCCTTATATTTGAAATAAAGTTATTTTGTAATTGAAATTTAAAAACAGTGAGAACTTATTCAAGATTCTTTTATTTTTTTAATAAATTTATATTTTTTTTTTTATTTGCACACACATTTTATTTACACTAGTTTACTTGTAATAAAACTTTAGTACTACCCTAGTGCAGAGATGATCTTATAAGCTATGGGTTTCGAAATTTCGAAGCGAATTCAAGTTTTACTAGCAAAAAATTACAAGATACACATTAATTTAATTACACTTAAATCTCCCAGATACATTCAGTGTAAAATTACATTGAAATCTACCCATTTTACCATAATTGAGAATCAAAACAGTTTTTATCGTTTTTTATCTTATTATAAATGCGAATGTTTGTGAGTATGTATTGATGTTTGATACTGTTCTAGACAACTAGTTATGCCCGCAACTTCGTTTATTTCTACTTCCGCGTTTTATAGTGACTATGACCAAATGTAGAAAAAATATTCAAAAATTAAAATAAATATTTCCATTCGATTTCTATACGATTCGATTCATTCGATTTTCCATCGTCTATTTTATTTTAGCCCCATAATGGTAATCTTTACAAACATTGAATGTCATATTTATTTATATTTTATCAAGTCAAAAGAATAAGTTTCAAACGTCTAGCTTTAAAAATGATGAACATTTAAACTCCCCCTTCAACCCTTTGAAACCCTCTTCTTTTTATTTCTACTTCAACATCCTAAAATATAAATTTCAAGGTTCTAGTTTTAAAAATAACGAATTTCCATATATAATTTCATCTCCCCTTTCAACCCTTACAACCCTTATTTCGTATTTACCATTATAAAGTAGCCTGTGTTCTTCCTCAGGGTGTAGACTATCTGTGTACCAAAATTCATTTAAATGGGTTCAGTAATTTTAGCGCGAAAGCGAGACAGACTTTACAGACTGGCAGAGTTACTTTCGGAGTTTTAATAAATGCGAATAATAATTTTATTGTTATTATAATAATCTGATATTATTAGAAGTCTGCGCGCGTACGGCTAGTATAAAATAAATCTGAGGTCTAAAAGGGATAAGTTGGACAGTATCTAAAACCATTATGCAAATCATTCTATCTATAAAACCTCTCATTAACATATTTTAATGTTTTCTAATGCATATGCATATTTTGTTCCATTTTTATTGAGTTGTCTATAAAATCATATTGCTACTATTAATGATTACTCATACAACATTATCTTATAATTAGGGTTGCCAACTTTTTTTGACAATAAAAACGTATAAACGGGTTTGAATAGGAAAAATAAAAGTTTTATAAAAATATATTTTTAAACTTTTTTTGCATTAAAAACGTATTTTTGTCTGCTTTTAACACTAGGGTTGTGACAAATCTCACAACTCACAACTGACATCTAATATTTCGTTCAGTAATAATAAATCGTTTAGTACCCATAATGAGTATTTTGTTTTACGCATCACAGTACGGGTTGAAAATAAAGTATTTTGCATACTTTATGTAAAAGTATAAATATTATTACCAAAGATAAAGTAGGCTACGTTATAATAATGTATAGTTGGCAACCCTACTTGTAATATCCAAATACAGAATTTATTACTCATCATAGTATTCCATAAAGTCTTTAATGTTATAAACGCGGAAGTTTGTGAGTATGTTTGTTACTCTTTCACGTAGAAACTAGATAGAGAGATCGATATATCGGTTATTTGTTTGTTACTAATCACACACAATTACATCTTCATAAAAATAGACAATACATAATACGAGATAAGATTTACAAGTTTGTGTTATTGTGTCTGATCTGTAGCAATATAAAAAGGTCGAAGCTCAGCGTGGAACATTATTCAGGGAACAAAACACTGATTTTCAGCTTCAACCCATTTGAGAGTATCTGAAAATAATAATTAAAATAAATATAAAATAAAAAGAGCTGTCTGTGCGGTGTGTGTATAATAATAATAATAGTGTAAATAGTTCAGAGTACAATTTGATATAATTGTAACTAAGTGGTAAGGATTAATCGAGAAATTAAAAAAATATATTACATGGATTAATTAAATATATACTTATTATTTAATTAGTCCACTTAATATAATAATAAACTACTGGACGGATTTTAATAAAACTTTATAGTAATATAGCTTATGCATCAGAATAACACAGGTTATATTTTAGATTGAAATGTGTATACTGAAATGTGACGCGGGTTAAACCGCGGGCCAGCTAGTATTGTTTATATAAAATTGATATATCACCACAAACTAGCTTATCAGTAATTAGTCATTTATATATTTTTAAATAGTTGTCAAGTATTAGTTGCATAGTAATTTTATATTATTGTTTCAGGCATTGTGACGTTGCTATGATCAGTGCATCTCTGCAAATAGCAAGTCAAAGCTAGAGGTGTCAAAATAATTTAAAAAGTTAGCAAACATTACTTGAATATGCAGACGATCAAGTGCGTTGTGGTGGGCGACGGTGCAGTCGGTAAAACATGCCTGCTCATAAGCTATACAACCAACAAATTCCCATCGGAGTATGTGCCCACTGTGTTTGATAACTATGCCGTAACTGTCATGATTGGAGGAGAACCGTACACTTTAGGTCTCTTTGATACTGCTGGTTAGTATGATTTATATACGACTGACAAAACGCCTACTGAATCTCCATAGGCATAACCTCAAAATAATGATATGGACTATAAGGGGCCACTGTCCCTTACACAACCACCTGTGCACAATAGGTGCTACAGACAGACCACTTTGTCGAGGCTGTTTTGAAGCCGGAGAAATGGCTGCTCACGTAATCCTAGAGTGTGTAGTAGTACAACGAAAACAAATCCTCGGAACGGTGAGGTCGCTCCGTGAAGCCTGTGAAGACACCAGGCTGCGCTTTTGGGAGGAGCTTGGTTGGGTACTTTAGTAGTCTGCCTCTACACGCACAACAGCCCTGTTAAGAGGCTAATTGCGGAGAATAGAGTCCAACTTACATTACATTACATACATATGTGTATATATTTTTGTTTTAATGTATACTAATGAAAATTATTTCATTGGTGCATTAGCACCTGCATGGAGGATAATGAGATGGACATGAGATCAGGTCAGCGCATGTTGACAAATTCACCAGGAAATTTTCATGGTTTCTAGAGGGAACCTGACAAGGTGAAGGTTAACCTGACATGGTACATTGCTAACAATTGGGTTATTAATCCACATTACAAACAATCCCTTTGCCCCCCAATATTTGTATTTTTTTTAATGGATGATAATGAAATGCACCCGCCTGCGCTAACGGTTTACCAGACTGGCGCTGGCAGAGCACCAGTAGAGGATAATAAGATTGCATGAGGTCAGGTCAGTTAGTCCATCATGGCAAATTCACCAGGAAATTTTCATGGTTTCTAGGGGGAACCTGGCAAGGTGAAGGTCAACCTGACATGGTACATTGCTAACAATTGGGTTATTAATCCACATTACAAACAATCCCTTTGCCCCCCAATATTTGTATTTTTTTTAATGGATGATAATGAAATGCACCTGTCTGCGCTAACGGTTTACCAGACTGGCGCTGGCAGAGTACCAGTGGAGGATAATAAGATTGCATGAGGTCAGGTCAGTTAGTCCATCATGGCAAATTCACCAGGAAATTGTCATAATAGATTCTAGTAGGAATCTTGTCAAGGTGGATGTTAACCTGACATAATGCATTGCTAGCAATTGAGTTACTAATTCACATTATTAGCAATCCCCTTCCTACATTATTATATGCATTTTTTTAATGGATGATAATGTTATGGCGTGGCTCCAGTAAAGGATGATAAGATGTGCTCACGTTAGTTAGCGCATGTGAACGAATTACATGTTCAGGAATTTATCATGATGGTTTCCATAGGGAATACAATGGATGTCAACCTGACATGGTACATTGCTAGCAATTGGGTTATTAATCCAGATTACTAACAATCCCATTTCCCCACAGTATATGCATATTTTGTTATCAAATTATATGTATTTCACTACGTTGTATGTAGTACATTAAGTTGATTTATTGTTGGTATGATTCATTTAATCAATAACTATTTATACAGGCCAGGAAGACTACGACAGGCTGAGGCCTCTGAGTTATCCTCAAACGGATGTTTTCCTCGTGTGCTTTAGTGTGGTGAGCCCTAGTTCATTTGAAAATGTGAAGGAAAAGGTATTGTTATTATATACTTTATTATGTTATGATTGTTGTTAAATTATACTATTAACTAGCTGTCCTGGCAAACATCATTTTGCTATATAAATACAAAATATCTTTATTCATGTAGGTCTATTACAGACTCTTATATGTCAAATCTACCGTCGTTTCGGAATTATTTCTAGATGAGAAGAACTGACAAGAATTTTTTTTAACATTATTACATTTTTTGACAATTTCATTATTACATAGAATACAATAAAGTTGCTGTCGTTGTCTGTCCGTCCCTCCCTATGTATGCTTAAATCCTTAAAACTACGCAACGGATTTCGACGCGGTTTTTTTTTTAAATAGATAGAATGATTCAAGAGAAAGTTTTATATAATAGAAGATAGATATTACTAAATTTTAATCATGTATCTATGTAGTAATTACAAACAGAATTACAATTCTTTACATAATGATAAATTGTCATAACAATTTATATATATATATATATATATTTAATAAATCATTAATCATACTAGCTGTACTCGCGACTTCGTCCGCGTGGAATTTATCTTTATTTTTCTAAAATAAAAGTAGTCGTAAGTTACTTTTTATTACATCAGCTACCTGCCAATAAATATCCCGTCAAAATCGGTCCAGCCATTTCAGAGATTAGCCGGAACAAACAGACAGACAGACAGACAGACAACAATTGTAAAAAATGTTACTTTGATGTATGTAACATTTATATTCATATGCATGTAGTAAAAAATGGTTATTTCAATATTACAAACAGACACTTCTTATTTATATGTACAGATTAATGACCAAATTAAATAATTACAGTGGGTACCTGAAATAACTCACCACCAACAGAAGACACCGTTCCTATTAGTGGGCACGCAAATAGACCTGCGAGATGATCCGGCAACCATGGAGAAATTAGCAAAGATAAAACAGAAACCAGTGTCTCTAGAACAAGGCGAGAAGCTTGCGAAGGAACTGAAAGCGGTCAAATATGTTGAGTGCTCCGCTCTTACACAGGTATATATTGTATTATTATCTTCTCTAATATGTAATTATATTGAAAGCTCTTATGGTGTAGTGGTTTAGCACACCGCCTGGTCACCTACGATGGGCGCGGATTCAATTCCTCGCACTGTATAAACATTTGTATTTATGAGTATGATTAATTGTATCGATCTGGGTGTTCTTTATGTATAATGTGTATGTATTTATAAATAAAAATCTATGTATTTGTATCAGTTATCTAGTACCCATAACACAAGCTTTAGGTAGGTTTACTTGGGTCTAGATGACGCTGAGTGAATTGTCTTGAGATTATTATTGTTATATTACATGAAAATAAAACGACAAATGTGCTTGGCAATAGTTGTTCAGGATTTTTATTTAATATTTGACTTAACACCTTCATAAGTATATAATGTAAATAAAATGGCTTAAAAAAATACAGTTTAGTTTCTTGCCAGTGCTTTTTAATTGAATCTTCTGTATACTGAACTGGATAGTAGGGACAATATATTATAAAAAATACTCTCTAAGTGGCTAAAATGTCCTAAGTAAGCAAATTATGTTACATTATTGTTTGATTTAAAATAAACGGAATTTGAACCTTCACACTAGTTAAATAGGCATCAATAAATTTAAGATAATATGTATTCAGGCATACATATATTTACACATCTATTTCGGGTGAGAATTGAAGAATAGTTTTTTATAATAATTCAAAATATCTTTATTCATGTAGGTCTATTACAGACTCTTATGATATGTCAAATCTACCGTCAGTTCGGAATGATTTCGAGATGGGAATTGATACGACTCGTATTCTTTTCAAATACATGTTGTGCATCTTTACAATAATACACAGTCATTAAAATTCAAATTTGGGAGAATAGAGTGACTACCACTATATGCGATTGCAAAAAACAAAAAATCTAATCAGAGTTCGTGACCTAAACAGACCAGTTCACCAAGCAGCACCTGTTCACGAGTATGACGGATGCCTGCCATAATTGCACTCAACCATATTTGAGGATCGAACTTTATAGCGAGCATGACAGTTTCAAGTTACTCCACTACGTCAATTATATTATTTACAGCTTAGGCTGTACCGATCACAGTTTTCACCCATTACAATATGTAATGTACATTTAATAAATGTAAATGTAAACAATAAAATAAACAATAATATAAAATTACTTATTTTCATATCATTCACCTGTATTAGACTGGACTAGAATTGTGAATTATTATGAACTAGCTACTCGCCGCAGCTTCGCACGGGTGTAAATGTATTACATATAAAAAACCGTCCCCAAGAGAAAGTTTACGTAGTTTTAAAGATTTAAGCAGGACGGACAGACAGCGACAGCGACTTTGTTTTATACTATGTAATGATTTACAAGAAGATATTATCGTATAACACAGTTAATTACAATTACTTTGTTTCCATTACAGAAAGGACTGAAAAATGTATTCGACGAGGCAATATTAGCAGCATTGGAGCCTCCAGAGCCAGTTAAGAAAAGGAAATGTGTGCTGTTCTAGACACGCCGCCGGAACTCAGTGACTGGGCTATGTGCTGCAAACGGCGTCGTCTCCCTTACACAGCACGTGTATGAGATATCTAACACCTGTAATATTGAACTTATTTTTATAAATTTTATAATTACTGGTCTATTATAATTATTATGCCATAATAAAAATAATGAATATTACAGCTATACTAGGGAAGTGACTATTAAGCTACAATGTAACCAAGCAGCCCTTTGCAGTTTTTCCACGATTAAAAAATATAACTAGCGGCGACTGTTCAATGTATTCATATATTTGATATAATTTAAGTTTTATTTAATAATTATTAAGTGGTTATTCATACCTACCATTTAATGTATTTAATTATTTTAAAGAAATTGAACTGAAATTATAATATTTTAATCACTGGCTATTGTATAATGGATTTCGCCGTGCAATATGAGTTGTATTCAATGAAGCAACATTATGCACAATGTTTAGTATGCACAGTGCGAAATACCATCTACATAAATTTTACTTGGTAATACATTATGTAATAAAGTATTAAAACAGTAATTAATAAATGCATGAATTTTAATAATTACAACGCCTGTCTGATCGACAGCCGTCCATTTATGTGTGTTTGCTATAATTTCAATGTGTTCTTATTTTATTTAAAGATACCTAATTACTTTTTTTAACAAATAAAGACTAAGGAATAAATTAATAGAATAGTTTAAACATAGATAAATCATTGTTAATGAAATACCATAACTAAATTCAATATACATATTTTTCTACAGTAAATTAAAATAATGCCCTAATGCCATGAAAGTCTAAAACTGATCAGACGATCAAATGATTTTCATACCTGACATACGTAGAGAGAACATGTAGGTCAGGGATGCTGTTGCAATGCTGACAATTATATAATTTTCAATTATTTTTTCATCTATATAATTGAGTTTTATTTGTATTATGTTATATTTTGACTGAATTAAATATATTCATTCCGTGCGATTCGTTTAATAAATCATTGAACGAAGAAAAGTTAAGCCAAAGCTCTAGAAGGGCAAGTACTTCGCATTTTTTTATTATACAAACTCATATAATATTACATGTACATGTACAAATGTTCAATGTACATGCACCTTAACAGTATTTAGTGAAGTACCTACAGCGTCGCAACTTGGAAAGTCAATCAATAGTTTATATGTCTTGTATTGTCCAATATATAAAAATTGGAGTATTAATACCGTATTTATTAATTAGAGTAACATAACATTTTGTATTGGTTATATACGCAATCAAAGGTGTATATACATAATTTGAATTTATTGGATGCTTTTGGTTTATAAATATATTGGCATTTATATAGTTTTTATAAACATTAGATGTACAATTGTGCAAGATCATAGTCGAGCCAACGAGACGGCTATGAGGTACGATACGCCTTAGAGTGCAATATGAAAATGAGTTGTAATAATTCATCGCTACATTAAATAATTGTAATTAATTAACAAATGTATTTGAATTGAATACCTATAATGAATGCTACATATTCCACCAGGATTGTGTAATAATATAATAATTTTATTAGTGATGGAGTTTAAACTTATTCAGTTAATATTTTTATAATCTGAAATTATTTTCTTAATTGTCTTTATATATTAATGGATTTATTATAATTCTTTTGTGTCAGTAAATAGCTATAGGTGTATATTGCATTAAAAATAAATATAAGAAATATATAATGGTTTTTTATTCGACACCTTAAGTAAGTTGGAGAAATTCTTGACAAGAACATAATTTCATCTATACTTATAATAAATCTATAGAGAGGTCAATTCTGTACATGAAATATATTTCCAAAAGAACTATCAGGGGGTGAATAGTGATCAATACTGATGCCAAAAATGCATGTTCGTTATAGAAACAAAAACTACTAGACGGATTTTAACGAAATTAGGTACAATTATTCTTCATACTCCTGGGCAGGCTATATAGTATACTTTTCATCACGCTACGATCAATACGAGCATTGAAGGGAAATGTTAGGAAAACACAACCAAACAACAACAAACAAAACCGCTGAACTGTGAGGACATGGACTACTTATTTTACGAAAAACGACGGAATTGCAGGCAAAAAAAATTTATATTGTTACATTCAGTTACTGAGAGGTAGGTTACACGAGGTCTCGCGGGATCCCGATCTCGCGAGATCTCGTGTAATTTTCGGGATCAATCCCGACGCATCATATGACGAGATCCCGTTCGAGATTGATAGGATTGGGCGGCAGTGAAAAAGAAATAAAAAATATAATCACACGATTATATCGTAAAGAACCAAACCAAGCAGATATTAATACGGCAGTACTAATCGAAGATGACTTGCCTCTTTAAATGATTGCAGAAGATTTGAATTTACGTGCTGCACAAACTAATAAATCGCTTCAAGAGGAATTAGAAGAAACTCTGCGAGCTTCTAAAAGTCCTTTTGCACGTATATCCACGTCCACGAGCTTAGACAAATTAGAATCTACCATTAAAAAAGAAATGGATTTGTTTGAGTGTGGAGGAACAAGGGGGCGATTTTTGCAGTTTGCATATAATTGCTTCGCCATGCTGTTGCCAACCAGCGTCGGAGAGGAGAGAGTCGGAGAGGGCATTTTCAGCAGCGGGGTACATTGCAACGGACATTAGATGCCGTTTAGCAGATGAAACTATTAATACCCTTTGTTTTTTAAGGAGTCATTTTCAAAATCACTGTTCCCTTGAAATAAGCTTATTGTTTTTGATTACCTAATTTAACTACGTTAATTTCCTTACAACCTGATTATTATTTAGTTGGTAAGATTAAAGAATAAAGGTTTTTATTTTCTTTCGAGTAATATGTTATTTTAGTTAACCTCACTATCACAAACAAGCAGTTATTAGCTTTTTCTGTCATCTGAATTCAACATTTTTTTTTAATTTAGACGGGATCCCGAAAATTCCGGGATCCCGCGGGATTGATATTTCTAATCCCGCGGGATCCCGAATTTGCAATCTCGAGTCGGGATTGCATTCCCTACTGAGAAGTTATGTTAATATAATTCCTCTTTTTATATCAAGTACAAAGTTGATCAGATTATATGCTTATTTCTATAGATGTATGTAACAAGATTTAGTTGATAGACTAACTCAACTAACAAAAATCCTACTGAAGTTAAACATACAAAAAAATTCACATCCTGAGAATCAACTAAAACAGAATCATCCCTAAATTTGTAAAGAAAACAAGTGAACCATTTGTTCTTTACTGTTTACTTCTCACAACTTTCTCTAATCGACTTTCTTTACGTACTCAATTCACGAGTCACTGTTTTACTGGTATAATGTTATTCAACCTTTTTATAGATGTTAAAAATAATACTCATAGCTTATAGATTCATAGATGAAAAGCCGATGCTATTTTGTCGCACTTGGTATTATTTTGACAACTTTGACGTAATGATTTTCTAGTGGCTTTACTATCATAACACCCTTTTTATATTTATTAATCAGTGTTAGATTTATTTTAAAATTAACACGATCTGCCAAGTCGTGTGATATGCAAATTCTAAGTTGAAATGGGCGACAGCTTAAAGTTAACTAAAGGTACTGACACTTTAACGGTATGTTATTATAAGCATACTAGCTATGCCTGCGGTTTCACCCGCGGGAATTTTAAAGCCTACATGTTATTCTGATAATAATATAATAATCTATAAGTTATATATATTATATATATAACTTATAGGTTATATACTGTAACGTTTCAACAAACTTCGTTCATTCACATACAAACATCCATCCATAGGTACCTACTCATAATGTTTTGCGTATATAATATTAATAATAATAAGATTTACCTGTAAATTTTGCTAATCTACATATATACCTATCTAGTTTCGTGCGATAAATTTAAAGATAAGTATTATCACATGATATTTAGGTAAGGATGAAATCTAATAATTTTCCAATCATCAAAATGGCGGAATTTCGTATTGCATTAACCTCAAATATAGATATGGTATACAGATAATATTAAAGCTTTTATTACTTGGAGTCTGCAGTTAGTCTAATAATAACATTATTGACTAGCTATGCCCGCGATTTCACTCGCATGAATTTATAGCCTATATATAATACTGTAAAGTTTCGTCAAAATCCGTTCAGTAGTTTTTGCGTGAAAGAGTAACAAACATCCATCCATACTCACAAACTTTCGTGTTTATACATATAAATAAAATTGGAGTGTCTGTTTGTAATATTGAAATAACCGTCTTTTACTACATGCATACCAATATAAATACGGTACATACACCCAAAATAACATTTTTACAATTTTTGTTTGTGCGTTTGTTACGGCTAATCTCTGATTTTTGTTTTGGCAGGTAGCTGATGTAATTCGGTATACTTAGGCTACTTTTATTTTAGAAAAATGAAGTTAAATTCCAAGCGGACCCAGTCGCGGGAACAGCTAGTAATAATAATAATAAGATTTAACCGTAGCGTCGGTATCTCTGGAGCGGATGAATCCATCGCTAGCTTTAATCGGGATGTACGTACTTGACTGTCATCATTGCATAGTCTTTATCCAATTTATATCGGGTCAATGCAATATTACGTCTTGCACTACATCAACCTATTCTATATATGTTATGTTATGCATGTCAGTCGTTTTACACGAGCAGCCTATGGTTTAGGTATAGGCAGAGGGCATATAACGCTCTTCGTGTACAATGTAATAATGGGTTTAGGATGTTGTTTGGGCTCCCTCGGTTCTGTAGCGCATCAGAGATGTTTGCAGCAGCACGGATAGATGGTTTTGATGCCATAATGCGAAATAGAACTGCATAACTGATGTGTAGAATTCGGGGGAGCGCAAACAGCCTCCTAAACACCATATCCGATATGTCGAATTGTCCGCTCCAGAGACACTGGACATCGCTGCACTGCTGCGGACCCAGTGCTTCTGGACGTGGAAATAGATATAAATATATAACTTAAATGAATAAAATTGTAATTTGTTAACATATTTTATATAAGTTGGTTACTAACATAATATGGATATATATCCGAAATATATGAATAAATAAAAAAAAATATCATGTGATAGATAAAACTGGTCAACAAAAATAATATATATTTTTTATTTATTTATTTAAACTATCATCAGTGTACAGTTTGACGAAGCCTGACTCCCAAACTAGAGTGAGCTGCATATCAGGAGTCATGTTCGTAGTCAGTTCTTTCCCAAAACAAGGATTACAGTTTTAATGTACATATAGACATAAACTTAATTAATATTTTATACAATTTAGCCAATGTGTGTGTGTGTGTGTGTGTGCGTGTATGATTTTGATTTCTTCTACCTCGAAGTAACGCATATTCTTAGCAACAATTTTTCTCTCACAGCTTTTGTTTTTGAGTTAGCTAACTCCCTTTTACTTTTACTATGTTCATGTTATTGGACACTGAAATATATTTTGTTGTTTTCGATGATTTTCGTTAACAAGATGTTGTTAATTAATCTCTATTGTTTTTGCTATGTTTGTGGTGAATATGTATTTGTAAAAAATCGAACTATATTTTTCGTCAAAATTATGAAACTGTGTATATAAAAAGCTATTAGCAATTTCTACCACTGTGATTATGTGAAGAGGTGTCGCTACATAATATATCTATATTTATTATCTATATTTATTGTAGACTCTGGGTAGTGAACAGAAATCAGTCATAAAATCAGGCTCATAAAAGTGAAATTACTTCTGCAATTATGATATTATATTTATACAGATATACTAGCTGTCCTGGCAAAAACAACATTTGTTTTGCCATATAAATTAAAATCGCTATTAAAAAATAGGGGTTGATGCTAGAAGGGTGAAAATTTAGGGTTGTATGTATTTTTCAATCCTAAATAATAATAAAATGAAAATAAAATATTACGTCGAAAAAATAACCATATATATTTAGGGGTGGATATCCTTTATCACTTAGGGGTATGAAAAATAGATAGTAACCGATTCTCAGTCCTACTGAATATGCATATAAAATTTCATAAAAATCGGTATTACCCTTTAAGAGGAGAATGGTAACTGACATTGTAACACGAGAATTTTATATACATGTAAGAAATTCTATTAGTTTCAGTTTTATTATTCTATGCTCTTACAGATAAGCATCACAGAAGCTCGAGCAGTCTCTCTGGAGTTGTGTTGGACGGAACCCGTTCTGAAAGAAAACTAGATATCAGGGGTTAATTTCATTTAAATTTTCACTTACACCGCCTTGTCTAAAATTATATACTATTTTTTTTATGGATTATAATGAAATGGTGCACCCGCCGTGCAATAGCTTATGCTGGCGGGGCACTAGTGAAGGATGATAAGTTGAATATGAGGTCAGGTCAGTTAGCCCATCGTGACTAATTCACAAGAAATGAATCACGATGGTTTCCTGGAGGAACCGCGTGGAACTAACATGGTACATAGCTAGCAATGGGGATTACTAGTTCCCATTACTAACAATCCCCCTTAATTGTATACTATTCAATTTTATAAGTATAAATTGATTTTTATACTTATTCCTAATAGTGACTAGTTTTGCGATATTGACTTATAAGAATCACTTCCAAAATAGCGTGTATATAATTTAGCTTTTACGCATATATAGTGTTGGATTACAATCCAGTTTTGTACCGAACTACACACTCCTAATTATATTATTGTATTGACTGTAATCTGTTTTGTATGCTAATAAATAAAATAAGTATAAAATATAAAGGTATTAAAAGAAATATCAACGAATATATATATTATAATCAAGATAAATCATCATTATTACATAGTATAAAATAAAGTCGCTGTCGCTGTCTGTCCCTATCTATACTTAAATTTTTAAAACTACGCAACGGATTTTGAAGCGGTTTTTTTAATAGATAGAGTGATTCAAGAGGAAGGTTTATATGTATAGTACATTTACACCCGCCGTACATTTAAGCCGTGCCGAGTAGATAGTGATAAATGAAGTTCATGAAAAGAATTATATTTTCTTATAGTTTCGATACCAGAAGTTGATGACCAGTTCGCTGTAGCCGAGGCGCGATGCGACGATTTGCAGGAAAAAATCGATTTAGTAAAATTGTTAAAAAGGAAAAGGAAACAAAAGAAACGAAGGTACTTTTAATTTAATTGAACTAGTGGATTTTGAATTGATCATGTGCTGATTTGAGAATATATGTATATATATATACATACGTACATACGTAAAAAGCGCGTGTATATTATATACACGTTTTAAAAAAACGCCTTACTACTTCATGGTCTCGGGTTTGATTCCTCGCACGGCACATACATTTGTATTCATTAGTATGATTGTTTGTATTGGCCTCGTTGTTTTCTGTGTATAATATGTATGTATTTATGAAAAAAAGAATATCTATTTATTTGTATCATTTATCTAGTACCCATAACACAAGCTGTAGCTAGCTTAACTTCGGTCTAGATGGCGCTGTGTGAATTGTCCTAAGAATTCTTACTGTTTTAGCACGACGCGATTGATTGATGCACCAGTTTATGTAGAAACAACTCCTGTCACAAACATTCGAACACAACCTAAAAAAAGTAAGTAGGTATAGTACCTACTTTTTTAATTTGATTTCATTCCCATATGGGTTGGAGGTAGACTATACAATATGTAGGGAGATCTTTGAGCAATTATCTTATTTATGAATTTTTTTAATCTAGTGATACAAACATAGCCAAATACCCGTTTGTTATCACATCTACACTCTAAATTTTTCCCTTCTACCTTCAACTCCTATTTTTTAACAGTTATTTTAATTTATATGGCAAAACAACGTATCGAGCTCGACTAGTGAAATGTACATAATAATATTATATTTGTCTCAAATATTAAACTATTACAATTGCTGTTTATAATAAAATGTAATAGTAATAATCGAGACAAAAGGGTCTATATCTCAGAAGGGGCAGTGAGTCCACCCTCTCTGCTATTCGGTTATAGCCTTTATTAGTAAAATAATACAATAAAATATCATCGACAACAATAGCAAGTAAGGTCAAAACTGTCCTATACTAACATAAAAAATTACTTAAAAAAATTAATAATAATAATAAACTTTATTCATAAATGTACAGTACAATCAAATACAGTTAGCCCTGGCTTTCGATGTAGGTGAACCTGTGTCTCGAAAGCCAGTTCCCTCCAATATTCTGTAAAAATTACATGCATACATCACTTGCGGTATATAATCTGAATTAGTTTAGGACAATGGCGGCAGTCTTGATGGTTACAGAGGTGTCCCAGCAATCGGAGAGGTTCAGACGGCTGGAGATCCCACAGAATCCGACCCGAGGGTATCTGGACCCCGCCACTGTGGAACAGCACCGTATGATTGGCCAGATACACGGCCACCACAGGCCTTACACTCCTCGACAGGAACATACTATGGTAAATGTATTATTAATATCCAGCTACTCGCCCCGGTTACCCAGTGGGAAAGAATATATAAATTGCATGTCTTATGATGCATACATAAGACATATATAGATTGACTCGCTACTCGCCCTGGCTTAGTACGGGTGTACAACTGTACATGTATTATATATAAACCTTCCTCTTGAAGCACTATATATATTAAACAAACAGCTTCAAAATCCGTTCTGTAGTTTTAAAAATTTAAGCATACATAGGGACAGACAGCGACAGCGAGTTTGTTTTATACTATGTAACGATGATTATGATAATTCACAACAATTCACACAGCGCCATCTAAACCCAACTCAAGCTAACTAAAGCTTGTGTTATGGGTACTAGATAACTGATACAAATACATAGATACATTACCATCTGACGTAAATCGGTCTGAGTATTTTCTATGTATATTATGTATTTGCAAAAAATATCTAAGTATTTGTACCAGTTGTCTACTACCCCATTACCAATAATACACACGCTTGTGTTATAACAAGCTCTGCTTACCGTGGGACTAGATGGCGTTGTGTTAATTGGTTAGGGGTTATTATATATTGTTATTATAAACTATGATACATCTACTTAATCTTTACTTTTAAAAAAATACTATTTGGTTTTAATAACTCAATCTCTCATGCGTATCTCTTTCACAGATAAAACAATGTGTAACAGATCAGAAATCAGCTGGATTACCGCGGCCGCGCTGTACCCGCCCTGATGGCGACTGTAAGTCTTCTGTACTAGTTAATGTTATTAGATTAGAATATTAGGTATTTTATCTTAAACTAGCTTTTGCCCGCGGCTTCGCTCGCGTTAATTTATCCCCTTAGGGGTGGATTTATAAAAATACTTTCTTAGGGGATGCCTACGTCTTAGTAGCTTTATACATGCAAAGTCTCAACCCGATCGGTTTAAAATTGACAAAGTTTCATACAAACTTTCATCCACTATTTTATCCCCTTAGGAGTAGAATTAATCAAAGTCCTTTCTTAGCGGATGTCTACGTCATAAAATATACTTGCATGCCAAATTTCAGCCCTATCCGTCCAGTGGTTTGGGCTGTGCGTTGATAGATCACTATGTCAGTCGGTCACCTTTGAGTTATCTATATATATTTACATGATAAGAGTTCATATCCCGATTCGTGTTCACAGAACCTTAAAATACCATGTGTTTGTTTTAGGCTATATTTCTAACACTGCTTATTTGCAACTGACGCGTAAGTGCAATGTTTGTTCGTAACTAGTTTATTCCAATTTTAGTGACATTTTGTGTATTATTGGTAATGAATTGATAATGAAGTGGGAATGAATTCGTAAGCATCATGTCGAAGAATTTCTCAGAACACAGTCCAGTTGCATATTAGGTAGAACTAGTGGCGGGTTAGGGGGTGATGAACAGAGCAATCGCCTTGCTCTCCCTGCAAGAGCGAGGCCCCAGGCAATTGCCCTGTCTCGCGTAACAACAAGCAAATTTTCAATAACCAATCAGTGGGAATTTGGCCAGTGGCGAGTTGCAAAAACCTCTCAATTTAGACATTTAATAGCATATGAACTAAATTATCAACACTAAAATATACAAATATATGTATATAAAAAAAATACGCCTATATTGTTCTTGAATCTGTGGAAAATTTTCACATAATCGCATCACATACTATTCACGTAAGGCCTTGAAAAGCCCGTAGCCCCAGACCCATTCTGGGGCTACGGGCTTTTCAAGGCCTTTTCAAAGCCGTCGCTGGGTAGAACACATAAAGCGAAGCGAAGTCGCGCCTCTTGGTAAGTGGTTCGATAACGCCAGAATGATCGGGATCGGGACCCTGTCATCTGTATGTTTTTTTTTGTGCCGACTGTCGAGTATGACTCTCTTACGAATTTAAGTATCGTTAGTACTTTTTGACGACCTCGGTGGTCTAGCGGTCTAGCATACCGCTTTACGACCGATGGTCGTGGGTTCGATTCCTCGCCTGGCACAAACATTTGTATTCATGAGTATGATTGTTTGTATCGGTCTGGGTGTTTTCTATGTATAATATGTATTTATTTACAAAAAAAAATATCTATGTATCTGTATCAGTTATCTAGTACCCATAACACAAGCTGTATCTAACTTAACTTGGGTCTAGATGGTGCTGTGTGCATTGTTCTGAGATTATTATTATTATTATTACTTAGATATTTTTTTTAATTTGTTTTGGTTCTTACAGGTCAGAGCAACGTATAATATAGTATAATATATGATACGTATTGCTGTGATCTATTGGCTTAATTTCAGATAGGAATGTCCGAAAAAGCACTTGCGGTCAGGGCGTGCAAATTAGCTACGACGTACCTCTTGAAGTGGCCTGCGGGGACGATGACGTCGCTGACTATTCGGATAATGACATATTTGATCATCAGAACGATGAATTGTAAGTAATTAAGTATTAATAACATGTAAATTTGGATAAATGAAGCCTTAGATCGGAAATTTCTTTACTCCCCTCCGATCCACTAGATGTCGCTGTATGTAGACCATTTACCAATTATTAATATGAATTTATTTCATGATATTCGATAATAGAACCATGCTATTAACAGGTCCCTCTTCCCCACTGGGCACACTGGGCACGTGCCCAGGGCCCCGTGATGGATTGGGGCCCCTAGTCTAGTCTAGTCCCTACTCCATTACTAAACGGTTACCAATAGCTACTCTACTCTCGCCTGAAAATCAATCTTAACAAATGCCTAATGGCTATGGTCCATTTGTTTGTTTTTGTTATTTTTTTTTATAAATGTCTAGCAAGTACTTTAATCCCTCATCACATAACGACTTTTTAAAATTATTTTTGCCTGGTTCGTTTTGAAGGCATGGCATCCCCATATACATTATACATCTCTAAAGGGTCATGTTAAAAAATTACTGTCTATTCTAACAAAATAGTGCTTTATTACTATGGTCATAGGTCATTATCTTAATGTGCTCTAATAGATGAAAGACGGCTCTGACTATTAAAGGTATGTTTTCAGCAATTCGTTTGATTTTGATAAGAAACCGATTGATACTCAGCGTAAACAAGTTAAATCAGCAAACATTGCTCATCGGAGACAAGTACTTCGAGCAACAAAAGACGGTAATCACAAACTCCTTTTCATGTTCAATCTTAGAATGCTTATTATTTGTAAAATACAGTTTTTAGAAATACAGTTTGTAAAAAACATTTTAAGAACTTGTACATGTATTAACATGTACTAGTTCTAGAAAATGTTTTAGTCGTAATTTTATTTTTATTTATAATAAATCAAATCAAATCAAAATTTATTCTAACATCAAATATTTTGTATTAATAGTTTTTAGTACACAGATTCAATTTAAAAGAACTGGCAAGAAACTCAACGGATTTTTCTTTTAAAAGCCAATATATTTACATTGTGTTCCTATATAGGTGTATATAATACACAAAGTTTAGCAAATAAATTTTGAAATCTGTTTAAAATCATTATTTACACGTATAATTATTAATAATTAATAATCATAACTACCTCGTGTACCTCACTTTGAACCTACAGTAACCGTAATGAAACAAAGTGGTCAATAATTGATATTAGGATTCTAGCACTACTGACAATTGATTCTCAATTGATAGTTGATTGATCTGTGTTCAATCAATCTGCGATAACCTCGAAGAGGTCGTTTTAATCAGCATTGGTATGGTACTAATCGGCGACCTAGTAATAAGTGTTTCTAATTAATGAATTCTAAATATATATGTAGGAAAGGTGATTGAAGTAAATGTGTAGTAATGATGGAGTGGATGACCTCATTCCTAGCAGTGTACCATGTCAGGTTGACCTCCACGCGGTTCCCCCTGGAAACCATCGTGATGAATTCCTGGTGAATTTGTTACGATGGGCAAACTGACCTGACCTCATGTTCATCCTATCATCCTCCACTGGTGCCCCGTCAGCGTAAACCGTTAGCGCAGGCGGGTGCACCATTCCATTGTCATCCACCAAAAAAAAATATATATACGTATAATTGTAAAAATAAATATTAAATATATATAAAAATAACAATAATTTGTGTATTATATTGTAACGTAATTTACTAATTGTATTCACCCTATCCTGTTCTTTATCTTTGGCTCTGACCTGTTTAAATGTTTAACTGTATCGTTTTTAAATAAGCAGTTTAATTAGGTGTAAGTTTAATATTAAAGATAAATTCATGAGGTATCTGTTATTGGCTTTACTAACTATGTAATACTATATATTGTCTATAAATTGTATTAGCCGTTGATTACCTAAATCAAATAAAAAAAAATCTACTGGATCTTTCCACGTTTTTTTTACTCAGTTCCCGATAGTTTTATGGTCCTGTGATTTTACTAAATTTACGTTTAAATAATGACCACGTCAAATTTAAAACAGATAGTTTATTCTTGATAAATTACAAAAAAACATGAATAATTAAAAAATAATGAATTTTATAGGATATATATTGACGACCTCGATGGTCTAGCGGTCTAGCCGCTTTACGACCGATGGTCGCGGGTTCGATTCCTGATTCCTCGCACGGCACAAACATTTGTATTCATGAGTATGATTGTTTGTATCGGTCTGGGTGTTTTCTATGTATAATATGTATATATTTACGAAAAAAAAACTATGTATATGTATCAGTTATCTAGTATTCATAACACAAGCTTTAGCTAGCTTAACTTGGGTCTAGATGGCGCTGTGTGAATTGTCCTGAAATTATTATTATTTTTATATGTAATTTGTAGGATTTTTTTGACAACATGTAATTGTCGACTGAAGAGATCCTATTTTACTATTATTATTACTTTCTCTCTGTATAGATTATTTATATATACATTTTTAACAGTAATAGTTTGCATGCCATTGCTATGGCAAAACACATAATACCTACATATATATGCTTTCATTATCATCTTTTGTACTGTGTTTTGATCAAATAAATTATTTTTATTACGCAAGTACTATGTAATGGCCATTGTTAGTACTTTTTTATATGTTTTCATATCGGATGTCGGATGATTATGATTGTATTATATTATTATATGGATTATGATATTTATTTATTATTGTATTTGTAATTATAAGCAGGCACTAAACGGGGAAATGAGAAGGAAACTGACTACTCCCGAGAAGCTTGGAGGAAAGCGTCTTCGCCTGTTCCACGCCGTAGACAAAAACAGAATTGTTCAATAGAAAATAATGGTATATAACCAACCAATTCTTTGATTATCTTAATAATATTATAAATTCAAAAGTTTGTGAGTTTGGATGTTTGTTACTCTTTCACGCAAAAACTACTGAACGGATTTTAATGAAACTTTACAGTATAGGAATATACTGTAAAATAACTATAACACATATATATATATATATATATAAATATATATATATTTTATTCAAATGTATATATTGAAATTTAACGCGGATTAAACTGCGGGCACAGCTCGTTATCTTATATAGTATACAACATGTTAAAATTTACTTTTAAAGTTTATCCAGCAATTTTTTTTTGTGGGCCCATAACTTAAAATATGGAATATGTATTTAATTCTTTTACTGACGAAGTAACGTGAAAGTATAAAGATATTTGTGCTATATGGGCGCATTTGACAGTACATCTTTTTATTTATTTATATTATAACAAGAACAGATTTAATTTATTAGTTGTTGGTTTGTAATCGTAATCGTATCGTAAATAATTTAATATTATGTAGTGAAAATAATAGGTCTAGTATACGACAAAAATCTATGAATTACTACTACTGTGCTACTTGTATTTATAAAAAAGTAAGTCCATATGTTAATTTCTTTTACAGCTCCAACACCTGTGCTAGAAGAGAGGCCTGTGGTAGAATTATTTAACAAAGCCGGTAATCAAACGAATCCAACTTTAGACGTTCGGCTAGAATCCGCACCTACTGTCAAGAAGAACAGACGAGGTGATATTTTTAATTGCTCAAATTATAAAATACTAGCTGTGCCCGTGACTTCATCCTCTTATTTTCCCCATCGATAATGGAATGGCGCTGGGTTTACGATGGCGGAGCACCTGTGGAGGATGATAAGATGAACATGTCAGGTCAGTAGCCCGGGGGAACCGCGTGGAGGTCAACCTGACATTGCTAGCAATAAGATAATCAATCTACATTACTAATATTGTCCTTTCCCCCCTCATCTTCGTCTTATAGTGACCTTGACCAAATAATGTAATAATATTCAATAATCTAACCCAAAAAAGCTAAAGAAAAATATTTTATTGTCCTAGCTGTATAAATGACGATTTTCGATTCAAACTTTCATCCCTTACTTATTAAGGGTAAAATAGTTATAAATTTTGAATGTCATATTTATCTATACTTAATCCAATATATATTCGCATTTATAATAAATATTAATTAGCATTTTAATAATAAATCTTAGGTACGGAGCAATTACTTCGACCTTATTATTACTGTGTTTTAGCGCGGGAACTTCAATCTTACGAAGATCAGTCTACTGGTCCTTTGGGAGATGTGATTTCAGCACCGACGAAAAAGGTGATGTTTTGTAACACTTAACTGTAATTTAATAAGATTTTATTAATTAATATCTATTGGAATTACACGGTCCGGACTATATTACCGAACGTACTGTGCAAGATATATATTAAAAAACACATGTTGTAGCCAGCAGTCCAAACAGAGCGTTCAACTATATTGATGTAGATTAACTATATAGATTAAAAATAATAATAAGAAATATATACTTGACTATTACTGGTGACAAAATTTTCTATTAATTTGTTATACGACTAGGTATGAGTGTAACAAATTTTATTAGAATCCAGCAATTCCTCGTCAAAAATAGCAAATATTCATCCATCCATTGTCGTAATTGGTCCATTCATAAAAGAGGGATGAGTAACACGCGGCCCGCGGGACACTTGCGGCCCATTAAACACCGCATCATCAGTGCGGCCCGTCAAGCATTTTTATAATTGAATCTACTTTTCTACTTTCTCCCATTAATATATTGTTATAAAATAATAAAACGGTAGTACCTACATTTTAAACCGATCTTTTTTTATTTATGGACTGTCTCAGGGCAACTCTAGGGCTTCGAACCTCGATACTCGTACTGCAGTATATATTTGCTGCTATGAAAATATAATTTAATCTAGTTTTCATCACAGTTGCATGTTACACATTACTAACTTACGTAGCAACAAGAACACAATTTTTAAATGTGATGAATTATACTTTTTATTATAAAATCAATGTGCCTAATAGATCCACGTTTGAATTGGACGGGGAATCGAACGTAGGGGCATGTCAAATTGTTACGTTCACCGTAACACTGTCAACGTCTCTGAAAACTCCATCTGTGGTAACAGTCTTGGTTGGTCAGTGAAAGTATTGTAATGATGTTTCGTTAATATGTCATGTTCAGACACAAGACTACCGACATCCCAAGTGTAAAGTACCGAAAGTAGTAAAGTACCGAAGCCGGCGATACGAGTTGCCGACTGTCGCCTCGCAAATGAAACAGGCCGGTATGAGATACTACTACGGGAACTCGAATCACACCAATATACCGTTCGTTGTGAGTAAGAGTACAGCGCCCTCACACAACATTGGTGTCAATATACAACAGGTGATTATTTTTATCTATTTATTTGTATCGTTATATAGTACCCATAACACAAGCTTTAGCCAGCTTAACATGGGTCTAGATGGCGCTGTGTGAATTGTCCTGAGATTATTATTGTTATATTACATGAAATATAAATGACAAATGCGCATGGCAATAGTTGTTTATCCACAGGACTTTCATTTAATATTAGACTTAAGTATACAATTTAAATAAACTAGCTTAAAAAAATACAGTTTAGTTTCTTGCCAGTTCTTCTTAATTAAATCTTCTGTATAGTGAACTGGATAGTAGGGAGAATATATTATAAAAAATACTCTCTCTCGATTATTATTATTATTGATACACTAGCCGTGCCCGCGATTCCACCAGCACGAAATTTATAACCTATGTGTTATTATGATGTATAAGCTATATTACTGTAAAATTTCATCAATTTACACATAAGAGTAACAAACATCCATCCATCCGTCAACTTACGCTTTTACAATTTGAATAAGATTTCTGGACAACTTTCTATTAATTAAATTCCTTTTTGGCAGGTCTTAAACGGTCTAAAAATACAGCAACCCTTGTCTGGTATACCATTGACGATAGCTCACCACATGGGTAAATATAGTTTTATATTACTATCATTAAAAACTTGTTGTAAATATGTTAATATTTGATAATTGATAAATAAATAGAAAAGTGCCATCGACTACCAAAATCTCGTACAATATGTACTGTTTATGCCTAGTAAATAACAAAAATTTGAATTTAAAAGTGAATCTTTATTATTGTAAACATGTACAACATTATTTATTTAAAAAGAATACGAGCTGAGTTTCTTGTCAGCTCTTCTCATCTCGAAAGCATTCCGAACTGACGGTAAAGTTGACGTATCATAAGAGTCTCTAAAAAGTTATTCAATTGCTGATGGACGGTAGGGTAAAAATATAATATAAAAAATTACGTTCATAAGCGGCTAATATGTCCTACATGAATAAATGATTTTTGAATTTTGAATTTTCTGAAATATTATTTTCTGTGTTATGTGAAACATTTGCGCCCGTTCCTTAAGGTTCCACCTTATATGTAATTTGATTTCGAATTTTAAAAATACTCTGTGATATAATAATTAATATAACAAATTTAAAACAACCATATTCCGACTTTCAGGACTGGGTCATGTTCCCACGCATGGTACGAAGAGTGCAACATTGGTTGGTTTCTTATTTTGACTTTTTATTTTTTGACTTCTCAGTATTAGACCTACAATGAGAATGACTGGCAGTTTTGTATATGCGTTTTGTATATGTGTTTTGTTATTTCGTATTTTTATATGAATTGAATTGAATCACATGTGTCACTGCGCTCTGTTACGAGTATCATCATCACTACATAGTACAAAACAAAGTCGCTGTCGTTGTCTGTCCCTATATATGTTTAAATCTTTAAAACTACGCAACGGATTTTGAAGCGGTTATTTTTAATAGATAGAGTGATGCAAGAGGAAAGTTTATATATATAATATATATGTACACCCGTGCGAAGTCGGGGCGAGTAGCTAGTACAAAATAAACGTCTTTAAGCAATCTTACTCATTTATTATTACTCTCAGCAACCGTCTCTGGACAATCGGGAGATGAATGCCATCAAGCTTGGTGGACGTTTGCTCCGATTGCCGTCATACAAGTACATATCGTACAACCGGCTACTTACGCTGTACCGCGAGGGCGACGGGATGGTACCTAGGTTCCTGCGCGCGATATCCCGGCCGCACTACTTCTACACTTCCATGTACAAGTGAGTCGTGTGTAGTGTTGTCTAGTGTCCCGATTTGCGCTGGACGTCCCGATTTTCAGGGGTCTGGGGACGCGTCCCGATTTCTACCTGATCGGGACGCTAAATGTCTGATTAAGACTAGGTTAGACAAGACTGATTACTTGTTATGTAGGATTAAATACATATTTAATTTAGGTAATTAATATAATACTATACTTGCACAAGTAGTTTGAAACGCAATGAATTAAACCCAGACATATTAACGCCTTGCTTTTGTTTACTGTCCCGATCTACAACCCTAAATCCCGATTTTTTGACCTCATGTACCGATTTAAAACAAATCGGACCTGGCAACACTAATCGTGTATAATTTACTTAATTTTTTATATTGTTTACTAGCTGTCCCGGCAAACGTTTTGCCATATACATAAATTAAATCGCTATTATAAATAACTTGGTGGTAGAAGGGTAAAAATTTAAGGTTATATATATTTTTAATGCCACATAATAAAAAATAAAAATAAAAAAAATTGGAATGAGCCCCCCTTAACACTTATGGTATAAACATTAGTTATAAACCTATTCTTAGACCTACTGAATGTACATATAAAATATCATCAAAATCAGTCAAGACGTTTCGGAGGAGTATAAATACAAAATCTGTGACACGAGAATTTTATATATATGAAATATTGTTATTTGTTTAACAGACTAAAGTTTAAATGCACTGCTCACATGAATGTCTGTTTGCCCAGTGTTTGACTGGAAGAAAATACCTAATGGTGTTAGTCCACCATATATATCTATGTATATATGTGTATTTGTGCATTAAAGTTTTATATAAATAATAATATAATTACAATCTCAGGATAATTCACACAGCGTCCTCTAGACCCAAGTTAAGTTAGTTACAGTTTGTGTTATAGGCACTAAACAAATGATATAAATACATAGATGTATATATTTTTTACGTAAATAGCTACATATTGTACATAGAAAACACCCAGACCGATACAATTATATTCATGAATACAAATGTTTGTGCTGTACGAGGAATCGAACCCGCGACCATCGGACGTAAAACGGTATGCTATACCGCTAGACAGCCGAGGTTGTCAAAATAAAGTTTAATCATTAATTCTATTGATGATCAATATTTACATTTATGTTTTAAGCAGTCTCACTATAAATCGGGAAGATCTCGACGGAGCGACATCGAAAGGCCGTAGCGGCAGTCAAGAGGCCAAACAGAGTCTCGCGGAGTACGCCGCTCTGTATCAAGAGTATGAACGTATAGAAAAGTGCATAAAAGAAGGAAATTGCGAACCGGGGTTGGAGCAACGCAAGGAAGAACTCTCTCGAGAGTTGGCTACTCGCGAGGAACATATCCGAAGAGTGAGTCATTTATATATGTTATTTGCCATCATTTTTAGGTTTTGTCTATAATGTAATCCACAAACGTTGTAAAGCCTTACTTAGATATTTCCACCTTTATGAAGGAGGATTACTGTCCGAAGGGGTGTTTTATCGGCGCTACCGTGGCGTTTTACTGTTATGATATATGTATATTAAATACTAGCTGTACGCGACTTCGTCCGCGTGAAATTATACTTCATTTTTCTAAAATAAAAGTGCCAAAAATTTGCTACTTGCCAAAAAAAGACCCAACAAAAACGGTCCAGCCATTTCAGAGATTAGCAAATTCAAATTTCAGAAATTAGGACCAAACAGACAGATAGACAACAAATTTATATTCATATGCATGTACTAAAAAACGGTTATTTCAATATTACAAATAGACACTCCATTTTCTTTATATGTATAGATGTATAGATTATATCCATTATTCGATTGCCATCGTCAGTGGCGTTACTACACTACAGAGTTGATTTATATTTATATAATAGTAACTGTTCCCGCGACTTCTTCCGCGTGGAATATAACTTTATTTTTATAAAATAATACTTTGGTTACCAAAGTTACTCCTTATTACGTCGGCTACCTGCCAAAAAAAAATCCGTCAAAATCGATACAGCCATTTCAGAGATTAGTCGGAACAAACAGACCGACAGACAGACAAAAATTGAAAAATATGTTATTTTGGTGTATATACCGTATTTAAAAAACGGTTATTTCAATATTACAAACAGACACTCCAATTTTATTTATATGTATAGATTATTTTAATAATATTATAGACGCAAAGTTTGTAAGTATGGGTTTTCGGACTACTCTAATGCCGTTGGCCGCAGCTGGCCAGTGCAGATGGCACTCGAAACCTGCGTAAGGACTTATGGAGCGGCTGAAGGCCAACTCCCATCTGACGGATACGACTTTAGTCTGAGGGCACCGTCAGTCCAGGGGTTCGAACCTCGGCTCAGGTCGTCGTAATATCTATTCCCCGTTTCAATTGGACAGGGGATCGATCGGAGGGGCGATCGGGGCAGCAGTGTGGAGCGTCCGGGTGTAAGAATGTTAAGGATGTTTGTTAATCCTTCACGCAAAAACTACTAAACGGAACTTGATGAAACTTTACAACAATATAGCTTATGCACTAGAATAACATATAGGCTATATTTTCTAATGAAAATTTAATGCGAGTGAAACCGCAGGCACAGTTAGTTATTACATATGTATGTTGTTCTACAAGGTGTTTATAATATGGGCTATTAGTAGCCTGAAATAAATAAACTGTTAGTGCCCTCTTACATTTCCTATAAGAGTCGGACGAGTCGTGCCAACAATTTAGTATTCCTTGCTACATTCCGCCTTGTTCGTAAATGTGTAATATAAAAGGCACGGGTCCGACTGTTCGTCCAGACTAACCCTAATAATATGAGTCTAGTCCTAATATGTTATCTTGATCGTAATATCAATTAAATACTACGTGATTCAGAGCAGTTCGGTTTTTAGATGTTGCTGAGGATGGTAATTTATGTATCGGTCTAGATAGCTATATCTATACTTTGTTGTTACAAAAGTTTTAGGCTGAAGGGTAAATAAAACTACCTAAGGCATTTGCATTTACCTATGCTATCACAAGAGACCTAATGCCTCAGTTCTTAGGAATGACAACGCATGAGACATATTCGAATATTCTCAACAGAGAAGTGCAATTTTTTATTGCATTCTACGCGTACCATTACAGATCTATTTAGAATATAGTCCCTTGATGTGAGTCTAATTTATCGTAACATAGTATTTCAATTACTAGATACAGAATGATTTATAAGATCCTATGTTGTGGGATTATATTTTATGAATCGCTCTTGATAGGTATATACTCTGTTGTTGTTACAAAGGTTTTAGGCTAAAGAGTAAAGAAAACTACCCAATTCAAATGCCTATGCTATGACCGAATACCTAAGTTCTATGGAATGACAATGCATGAGACATGTTCGTATATGCCTACCAGAGAAGTGCAAATTTTGTTTTGTACTGGGTACAAATATAGATCTATTTAGAATACAGTTTACTTAATAATGATGTTTGGTCCAATTACTTATAATAGTGTATTTCAATTGCCTACTAGAAACGATGGTTTATAGAGATCCTAGTATCTTATTATGACTTAAAAATGCAATGGGAATATATTTTTAGTATAAACCTAGACGTTTATGGTGCAATCATTTTGTCAATTAACGTAAATTTTGATTGTGAATTAATCTAAACCCAGGAATCTTTCAAATTAGTGTGATTATGTGTAGCATTTATTATGTTTTTCACAGGTGGTGCAAGAATATAGGTCATCTGCAGAATTTGACCAATCAATGCTGAGAGCATCCGCGTCCACAGCCGAGGATGGATATCGAAATTCCACTTTCAAACTGAACCTAGGTGAACGGCAACAGTAGAGACGAAGATCTACGCTACCGTCACAAGAAATACTCAAAAATCAAACCAACAAATCGAATTTGGACGCTCAAAATTATCGTTCACACGGTTTGCTTTGCTTTTGAACGCCTTCTAAATACAAATCGTCGCCTTTCATTATTCTGTTAGACTTAGCTTAATAAGGAAATGTAGTCTACTAGTCTACCAGATACTGGACTTCTTTCCAGTAGGATATTATCACTATGATAATTCAAAGCGCTCTTTTAGTGGGAACGGCACGAATTATCGTCTATAGGTACCGCAGACCCCTTGCCGGGTCAATATTTGGCTAACTTTGAGAATCGTTGCGTCTCTTCATTGGTATAAATTGCTAATGTTTGTCCAATGTGAATGTTGATGGTAATATAAAGAGTTTGAATACAATATGCCGATATTTTATTTCAAATTTTTAATAATGACACAAACTGGTGATATACGAATGATTTTATAATAAACTATTTACCTAAAGCCTTACTTTCATTATTATGGTTACAATGGGCCTGTAAAGTGAATTTTGGTATTAAGCGTATTTTACTTATTACAAGGTATGACTAGGTCATTGAAATAGAGAAAATACCTGCATAGCTCACACTTATTAGTTTTCAACAAATTAGTCATCGATTTTTGGGTGCAGGTATAGGATTAAACTGTATTTCCATGCTCGGACAATATTTTTCCAGATATGCAAATGTTTTCAAAATGTAAATATTTTCAATTGACCTTAAGCTGCTTACAAGCGGAAGTGTAGAAAACTGTATTAAATACTTTTCTCCACTTCCGGTTAATTACATATCTATATTTTTATAGTATTTAGTGTATAACAAAGATTTCAAATGAATATAAAAATAACTATATTAAAAACACAAACAGTAAACAAACATAATTGTACTCAATTATCAGTACTGTTTCTATTTACTTTAACATATAAAATTATTTAAAAAATTACAAAGAAAATATAATGGAAATGATGATTTCTTAAAAATTGGGTGAATTATATATCTATATAAATGATACTTATAACAGATGAAATGTTTATCGCTCGGAGATCAATAGCTTAACAAAAATTACATATTTAAAATAATAAATGAAGTGCAATATTATAATAACAGGTTGTCGATTTACCACTAACTTGTTTAACATTACATAAACATATGCAGATAATTTTATTATTTACAAAGCATGTAAAGTCAACAATAAGACAGCTTATACTAGCCAAGTATACTCGTAAACTAGGTTAATAATGAAAAATGAAATTAATATTAATTAAACAATAATATAACGCTACCAAATAAAACGTAAATGTTACAATTATTTTCCCCTTTTAAAATAGAATATATAATAATATTTACAAATCTACATGGAATAATTAGTTACAATATAATTTTCAACAAAACGAGCATAGAAAAATTATTGCAATTACGAAATTAGTCAATATTTTATAGCGCCAATTAAATTATTAACTATGTAGATTTAAAATATTATTTTTAACTTATGATAGTAAACTATATTATATGTAATGATGATACTTACTTTATAATGATTTTTCAGTTTAGTGATTATGTTGCTATGTATTCACTAGAGACATATATATTTAAAAAAATTGTGCAGTATTGTTAGGTAGTAGGCCTGATTTTATAAAAAAAAAATAGTTTTCACAGTATACATATGGTTCAATAATGACATATATTCGTGACGTAAATTTTTTTTTTAGATATATTATCTGTGACTTAGTCTAAATTATTATTTCGTATATCTATATATTAGAAATTAATTCGTAAACCAGTAACAACATTAATGTATCTAGAAACAATAAAATTTATATTATGAAGTTATAACTATACCTACTGTAATAGTTTGTGCAGTTAGTAGTGTAACCACAAAATCTATTAGTGTACGATATTTCACAAAGAGTAAGCATTAAGTAATATTTCCGAAACGTTCCACTAAAGCTACCTTTAAAATGTATATATTTTAGAGATACAGCGAAATTATGTTTCAGAACTGCTTGATTGATCAATTTTACGAATCAATGTGAAATTGGCGAAGTAGGTTTATTAACTACATTAATTAATTATTAACAATGTTAATATTAAATGATGGATACATGGGCGTACACAGGGGCGCGGGAGCAGGGCAGAGAAGAGAAGGGTAGTTGACCCCCTCTGATATTAATAATAAAAGTAATAATCTTAGGACAATTCACACAGCGCCATCTAAACCCATGTTAAGCTAGCTAAAGCTTGTGTTTATGGGTACTAGACAACATATAGATACATATACACACACATATACATATAAATATATATATTCGTAAGTACATACATATTATACATAGAAAACACCCAGACCGACACAAACAATATTCATACTACATACTCATGAATACAAATGTTTATGCCGTGCGAGGAATCGAACCCGCGACCATCGGAAGGAAGGCGAAGTGTTAAACCGCGCGACCACCGAGGCCGTCAAAATGATGATTGATGAATTGTATAGAATTGTAATATCAGGCGTTAACTTTTGAAAAATTATTCAACCTAACCAGGAATCGAACCCGTTGATTTTATGGTGTGAAAGATGCGCAGTTTAAAAAACATGTATAGTAGTTGTATGGGCGATTCTCTAACGACATACGTCATTAGACAGTTCTGCTGAAGATCATCGAAAGTTACAATAGTCGAATTATTATATATATAATTATATATATAAATTTAATAAAAACATTCATTATATATATTTAACAAAAATATTCAATATATAAATTTAATAGAAATATATATATGTTTAAATTTATGCTTATTTATTTTACTTTCTACCTAAAAACATATACTTCGTGTAAGTGTCTTCATGTAGTATGTATGAAAAAAAATGCGCGGGGGCCCTGCCTACAAAATTCTGGATCAGATGCTGGGTACGCCCATGGATAAACAATTACATTACTTAAGAACTATCATACCTCTCAACGTATAATGAATCCATATAGCCATATCGAATCACATATTCGGTGCTCTTAAACAATTTGCAAAGTAATGTAACGAAGCAATACATATATGAATTAGGACGTAGCAGTAACGGTTTCTTGTCGTTGCCGGTATCATCCTATCGGTTTAGCGTTGTGATCATAAAAACTAAAAAGTTGTCACGTTAGAATGAGAGAAATCAAGAGAGATTGTGGAATGAGATTTCACAAGTAATAAAAAAGGAAATATTATATTCTAAGATTAATTGAATCTTACAGAGAAGCTGTACGGTTATACTGTTGGGGAGGTTACTGAGAGTGTAGCAGTGAAGTATGATGTAAGGTTCGCTTCGCGTGTCTCGCAGTGGAGGCAGACCTCTGGGTGTCGATATTCTTCGTTCGGTTGTCTGTGTCTCACGGTGTGTTTCGAGAAATTGTATACATACTACCCCGGGTAGTTGACTGGGGGGACTCTTTATATTGTGGTCTTAATTTTTGTGATTTTGAATAGGAGTAGGTATGCAGAGTCTCAATACTTTTAAAAATTCTTTCCAGTTTTCATCCCGTTCCTCACTCGCTCCGAACAATACGTCAGAATCATCGCGTCTCTGATTTTTCTGCGCATGTTCTCTTCTTTTCAATTTTCACACGGGTGCACATGTATTATATACATAAACTTTTCTCTCGAAACACTATCTATTAAAAAAACCGCTTCAAAATCCGTTGAGTAGTTTTAAAGATTTAAACATACTTAGGGACGGACAGATAGCGACGGCGACTTTGTTTTATACTATGTAATAATGATTATATAGCGTTTGAGTAGCAAAGTAACAAAGATATATATATAAAAGTAAATCTCATTCCACACATGTCTGCATATTCTTTTATAGCAATAATATATATATATATACTAGTTTTTTTTATAATTTATAATAATTTTGCGACTGGAAATGGCTATGTCGAATTCAGTTACGAGAGTCGGTGGATGAGGGTAGGTTCTCGCCTTCTATCTTATGTCGAGCGGCATGTATGTACGCTTCCGCGGCGAGGGTGGGCCATGCGTCCTGTGCAGTCGGTGGGGGGTGTGTGGCGTGCGAGGGGTGAGAGGGGGCCGCGGCCCATGACTCCGTAGTGGACACCTCCGCCGGTCGCTCCGTACCCTCACCAGACTTCGTTGCACATTCCAATGACAACGGTTTAGGAGTTTCCATCCTAAAAAATTAATCTAACGATTATTAACTAGTCTATATGTAAAAACAAACTGTATAGAACTTGTAGTGGTATACAGAATGCATGGTACAGAAATAGAAATAATCTTTATTCAAATAAACTTAATATAAGCACTTTTGAATAATCAAGTTTTTTTATTCTACCGCTTATTCGGAATGCAGATTCATTACAAGAAGAATAAGCAAGAAACTTGTGTGTTGCTCAGATTACAGAAAATCATCATAATTACAGAAAATTGTAATTACTATGTTATCGTTATGAATTAACTGTTAGAAGAACGCGATTTCTTTATTGGTAATATGTATTTTAATAAAATATCTGAATAAGTAATTGGAGAAATTTGGTTTTCTATTGGAGAATTATATTTGTTTCTGGATGGTTTTGTAAGTGGGCTCTTAGAGAAAAAATACCTCACGCGTTCAGGTGACTGCATAGCGTCGTTCGTACTGGATATCTCAAGGTCCTCAGCGTAGCTTAAGTGTAGCTTCTCGCCGTCATTTCGTTGATCTTTGTCTGCAATGAAACGTGCGTTATTATTAACAATTAGGGAAAATGGTAGTGTCAATGATCTAATAGGACTGGTAATATCATCATCATCACCATTTCCTTCTTCCTTATCTCATTAAATGAAAAGTCTAGAAGTGTTTATTGATTTCTTTATAAGGTTACACAAACTTTGGTACCATTATAAATTTCTAACAATCATAATAAAACGAAGGTCTTATTGGTTAGCCCTACCTATATATATTATATCTTGTACGTAAAAAGATTCTAGGGGGATTAAAACTTAATACAAGAGAGGAAAACTTGTAAAATAGGCAGCTCAATTCATAGGAAAAAAGAACCTGCTTAAGTTTTTTTGCGCATTTTTAGTTGTACCTATACGCCGTGCTTTAAAAGTCGCCTATGTAATCGAGAGGGCCAATTTCTATTATGAATGTAACGTATTATAAATAACAATTGGATAATAACACTTAGTTTTGTCTGAAACAGAAGACGAATATGCAATAAGTGCATCATACCGTCTACATTGATGGCGGTATCGGGCCAGCCGATCGAGTCGCCCTCCACATCGACCGGTTCGTCCTCAGCGTCATAAGAGCGGGACTCCCGCGGCCGCTCCTCCCGCCGGTCCTCCTCCAGGTCGTAACCCAGCATGCTCTCCACTGTATGGTGGCGTTTGCGCGTGCGGAGCTTCAGCCGGCGCTGGCGATTCGCCCGGATCCGTTGATATGTCTGTTTTATACAATACCAGGTTTTTAATATGATAATTCGTCCGAGTTTTTCCATATTAATGATAGCTCATATTTGTTCTTGTTATAAAAATATCTTATAAATTCTTAATTTAATGTTTTTGTTATCGTAAATATTCACAAACGTTTCCTACGCATATTTATTAATTAAGAATTTATTTAACTACAAAAAACGATGTTTTATCATATTAATTTAAATCCCTATTAAGAGACAGGGGTAGAAGGGTGAAAATTTTGGTTTGTATGTATTTTTTATATAAAAAACAATAAAAATTCGTCCAGAAATAAAAAAAATGTTAGCAGTAGACAACCCTTATCACTTAGGGCTATGAAAAATAGATAGCCGAATGTCAGACCTACTGAATATGCATATAAAATTTCATAAACCTTGACCAATCGGTCAAGCCGTTTCACAGGAAAGCCGTTTCACACTAGAGTATGGTATCTAGCATTGTGATACGAACTCTTTATATATAAGACTAGTTATGTCCACGGTCTCACTCGCGTTAAATTCCAATATAAAATATAGCCTATGTGTTATTCTGATACGTAAGCTATATTACTGTAAAGTTTCATTAAAATTCGTTCAGTAGTTTTTGCGTTAATAAAAAGTATTCTATGTTCATTCTAATACCTATAAGTACATGTGTACAATTTCATGATGATCGGTTCAGTAGTTTTTGCGTGAAAGAGTACCAAACATCCATACTTAGTTTACAAACTTTCGCGTTTATTATATTATTAAGATTATGCGATCTTACTTCCCACCGAGCATCTTCGTCTTGATGATGAAGGGAGTGAGTAGACGGCGCTGCCGCATCCCTCGGCAGCGCGCTTAAACTGTACAGGTGTTGGAGCTCCTGCAGGAAATGCGCCTGCGCCACTCCCGGGCCCAGCCGTGCTCCGCACACGCCGCACGCAGACTTACGTTCACCGTCCGCTGGATAAGTTTTATTTTATAGCACAGGGCACAAATGAGCATGCGGCTCACCTGGTGGTAAGTGATTACCGCCGCCCATGAGAACAGAGGCAACACCAGTGGAACTGCAAGTACGTTGTCGGCCTTTTTAAAAAGAATAAGCTCTTTTCTGGAAGGTTTCAATATCGTAACGGTTCGGAAATATGTACACAATATTTAACGTAACACCTCTTTTATTATCACTCAAATATTTGGTACAGTTCTTCTGGTAGAGAATACTAAAATCATGCTACCCACCTTTTATACTGGCTTTTGCATGTAGATCGTTGTTTAAAGAAGAGTCATGTATGTCTTTATTCAATTCGTATAATTATGTACTTGATTAAATAATCAATTAATTATAATAATATATAATAAATAACCCTGGACAATTAACACAGCGCCATCTAGTCCCAAGGTAAGCAGAGCTTGTGTTATGGATACTAGACAACTGATATAAATACATAGATATTTTTTTGTAAATACATACGTAACATACAGAGAAAACACCCAGATACAAACAATCATACTCATGAATACAAATGTTTGCATCGTGCAAGGAATCGAACCCGCGACCATCGGAAATAAAGCGGTGTGCTAAACTGCTAGATGCTGCTGCCGAGGCTGTATGTAATTAACAACAATAGAGTGACCATATTGTTGTATCTATATTTATGTATCATCCATAATTACACATAATAGCTGAGCTATACTTTACTCGTTTTTCATAAAATGTATATTTATTTTACATACAAACAAGATCTGGTCATATTGTTATGCAAATAAAAACTTCCGAGTATTTATTCGCAAACAATATGTAATACTATATGCCCTATTGAATTCCGTAATACAGGGCAATATAAAGTAAATTACACAATATTAAACATTGTACGCGTTATAATAACAGTTTTGTAATGTTTTAGAGCCTTTGAATCCGGTGCATTGAGTCACTCATTTATTTGTTCTGTACCACAGCCAATCTCGTTTCTCCCTATAAAATTAGTATGATACCAACCAGTGGGAAGGTATTGGCAGTAGAAGAGATTACTAGCTTCAGTGCTAGTAATATTAGCTAGTATTACTAGCGCTGAAGCTAGTAATCTCTTCTACTGCCAATACCTACTATGCTCTCCCTTCGGAGTACCATTGTGATTAATCCCTAATGAATCAGTTACCTACTACTGGCCTAACTGACTTGACTTCTTTCTCTCATCATCTTTTACTGGCGCGAAGCCAGGGAATAGGATAAGCATTGCACCAATTCGAAAGAAATAAGACACCTACTTAGGTATCATCTTTAAATACACTATGTGATATTGTATAACACGTGGTTCGAAAAGTCACAAACATCGCGTAGAAATCAAGGATTCTTAGAATTTTTATATATACGTAATCACTTTTAAAATTCTAACTATTAAAAAGTTATATAGCCCTTCCACGTCACTTTGCGACGGATCTTATGGATAACAATGCTCCTCTAAGTCACTTTGTAAAGGAACTTATGAATGAGTAAGATACTTGTTTTAATTTTCTTAGATTGATGTTAACACATTTAAAATTTTCACTATTAAAAAGTAAGATGGCCTCTCCATAACATTTTGTGATGTATCTTGTGGAACTTAATTTTCTGAGATATATGTTAACTAATTTAAAATTTTAACTATTAAATAGTGACACGGCCGCTCCATGTCACTTTGTGCTGGATCTTATGGATGAATGGATCTTGTGTCTGTCTTAGATTTGTGTTAACACCTTCAAAATTTTAACTATTAAAAAGTGGCATGGACCTTCCATGTCACTTTGTGATGGATCTTATGGAAAGGATCTTAAATTTCTTAAATTTTATTAACACATTAAAATTATAACTATTAACGTGAGATGGCCCCTCCATGAAACTTTGTGGATGGATCTTAATTTTTTTACATTTATGTATTATAATGTGTTACATATAAAATTTTAACTATTAAAATGTGACCAACTGTGACATGGTGGGGATTAGAGGGGGAGAAGATAAAAATGATTAAAATCATGAGCCCTAATCAATGATGATCTTTTTGTACTCACGCGAGAAGAAGTCATGCGAGTCAGTGCAGGGCGTTGTCGTTGGTGGCTCGTCGTCTTTACAAGGTCTGGGGGATGCTGAGGCGGCGGAGCCTGGAGAGCTGGTGTCATCCCTCGCCGCGTACCCGTGCCGATACAACGGTGGTGTGCTGCTGTCATCACGGACGCTCTGTGCAAGGCGTAACCAACCGCCATACTATTATTATAAATGTGATAGTGAGACTGTCTGCTTTTAATAGAATAGAATAGAATAGAATAGAAAGTCATTTATTCAAATAAACTTACATTGAAGCACTTTTGAATAGTCATAACATTTTTTTTTAATCTACCGCTCATTCGGAATGCTGTCTCATCACAAGAAGAACAAGCAAGAAACTTGTGTGTTGCTCTTTTAAATAATTTATTCTTACTTACAATTTAAGTTTAAGTGTGTGAATACAAACCACCGATTAGTAATGCCTTATCATAACAAAATTTCGTATTAAACTTGGTTGAAATTTTAACTATAGGATTTAGAGCAAATATTCACAATAAATGTTTTATGTTATATTATATACTAGCTTCACCCGCGACTTCGTCCGCGTGGAATTTAACTTTATTTTTCTAAAATAAAGGTAGCCTATGTTACTCCTTATTACATCAGCTACCTGCCAATAAAAGTCCCGTCAAAATCGGTCCAGCCATTTCAGAGATTAGCCAGAACAAATAGACAGACAGACACGCAGACAAATATTGTTAATAATGATAATTTGGTGTATGTACCTTATTTATATTCATATGCATTTAGTAGCAAATGGTTATTTCCAATATACAAACAGACAATCCAATTTAATTTTAATTATATGTGTCGATTCATTATTAATTCATTAACTGCAAGTTTTCAAATATTATTCTTACTGACTCACGATGTAAGGTACCTTATAAATTTGCACTCTCAGTCCAGTTTACTTAGTTCAGATATTTAATGTTTATAGTATTGAAATATATCCAATAACATTGAAATGTAAATAGCATAAGTAAAGTATATCATTTAATTTTTGTTAATATGTTAAAGTACTTACCCGAAGAGCTTGACCGACGCTTTGACCAAGTGCGTATTGTTCTCCTAAATGCCTTGCAAACGCTTTCCCTGGGTAAAGCGGGTGGAAGGCACCACCTATTGGTCTGAAGGCACCGCAGCCGAAGCTCTGCAGTGCAGGATGCAGGAACTGCGGCGCCATATGATGAAGGAAACCCTCCATGACGACAGCGGCACTCTACAAAAGACTAAGTATTAAAAGGTTGTTGGGGTAATGAACACGCCAGCTGCTTAACCAATGCACGTAGGAAAAATATATACTGAGAATAAAAATACCTATTAGCGGCCTTTCCACGGCATGTTCTTCCATGGTGGATCAGGAGTTCATGAGTTTTAACGCGGGAAATACAACGCAATCGTGAGTTATGTGCTTCATGTTATTAGCTACCTTTATACGTACGCTCTTTCAAGCGGGAATAGACTTTCACGCAAGAAAGAATGTGCTTGTAAATGTAGACAAAGAGAACGACAAGAACCACGAGCAACGCCAGTTCGCGGATCAATCGTGCGTGATTTTGAACCTTAATTATGTCTTTCACGGTCTGTCACGGTTAGACCGCCATTTTGAAATTATAATTATTACAAGAGGCGCTAAATCAGGCACGATTGAAAGACGATTTTAGTAACGCTGTTAGCCCCAACTTTACAGCTTCACCGGATGTTAAAAAGAACGCGAGAATGCGAACTGGCGGCGCCTGGTTTTCTCGTTCTCTTTGTCTACATTTACATGCACATTCTTTCCCGCGTGAAAGAGCGTACGTGTAAGAGTAGCTATTAATGATTAACACGTTCTACACGTCTATTTATATGACTGGTCAGTTGATCTACCAGCATTGACTTTTACCCTTACACCCGGATAAAATGTAACGTTGTTTACAAATAAGGTACATAGGTACTTTCGATAAGATTTAATATCTAATAATAATATAATAATAGATCTAATATCAAGTACAGAATGCTATCAAGTATAATAGTTAATCTTAACACATTTGCATCAAAAATCTGTTTCTTTTTATCAAATTATTGAATGTTACGTTTATTTTTATTTATCTCATAACCTTTGATCTTTCAAATATTTAATTGTGAGTGGAAGAGGATTGTTCGTTATGTGGACTAATAAGACCATTGCTAGCAATGTATGGTACATTGCTAGTCAGAATGACCTCAACGCGGTTCTCCCTGGAAATCGTCGTTATAAATACACGGTGAATTTCACCAAGATAGACTAACTAATCTGAGTTATTGCTCATCTTATCATCCTACACTGGTGCTAGTGCCAGCGTAAACTGTTAGCGCCGACGGGTGCAACATTATATTATTATCAATAAGAGTGAAAAAAGTAAATTGTAGTGAAGTCTATCTTTCTTGGCATCTTAATGAATTAATTTTAATAGATCCACAACTTTTACAAGTAGGCAATTTGTTACAGCCTGACTAAACTCTCCAAGATTTGTCTTGTTTTTCTAGCGTGGTAAGGTTGCATTAGAGTGCAATAGAATTAAAATAGTCTTCATTGAAATAAACTTAATTTTAAGCTGAACATCTGTAATAGATTATTAATAAATATTAGTAATAAGAGTCTATTTCGATACAATTGATCACAAAAATCAGCCATTACTTAATGTAATAAAATTAGTCTGCAAATCTAGTCAAGACAAAAAAAAACTTATAATTCAATTTCTATTTCTGATTGACTCTCCTATCCTTCGCGAGAGAGTCAGTCAGAAATAGAAACTGACAAACAAGATTTTATCAAAAATATATTAAATAAAATCTTGTTTGTATACTTTATTATTCTAATATCCAAAGTAAAACGACAGTCGTACCTTTCCCCTCTCTGGAATAAAATAATATTAACCTGTTGAGTTTCATTTTAATTTGCTTTATTATATGTTATGATTTTCATATTCATTTCCTTTGGATTGATGATATCTCAAGTTACACTTAGGGTTTGTTCCAGATATTATATATGTTTATTACATGTCAATTATATAAAGGCTATAACAGAATATCAGAGGTGTACTCACTGCCCCCTCTGAGTTATAGACAATTATGTGTCGATTATTACTTGTAAATTTTATTACAAGCAGCAATTGTAATATGTAGTTATTTATTTGAGACAAATGAAGACGATTATTATTATTCTAATTATCGCTATAGTTACATGTTTTTACTACTTTTACAGATGTAATTAGATAATTGAGTATCTATGTTTCTTATTCTATTTATTATTTATTGGATCGTTGCATTATATGTAACTATTTAGCTAAAGTGAAAATGGCTAAAATAATACTAAGGATAAAGTTTCACTAAAATAATCAATTAAAAAATAATCGTAAAATAAAGTAATGTATTTACATATATTCTATATATGTAAATACATTATGCATGCGATATACATGCGAATTGTCCTGAGATTATATATATAATTATATATATAATCTCAGGACAGGATTATATATATAATTATATATATAATCTCAGGACAATTCGCACAGCGCCATCTAGACCTAAATTAAGCTACCTAAAGCTTGTGTTATGGGTACTAGAAAACTGATACAAATACATAGATATGTTTTTTTCGTAAATACATACATATTATACATAGAACACCCAGATCGATACAAACAATTATGTATACTCATGAACACAAATGTTTGTACCGTACGAGGAATCGAACCCGCGTCCATCGTAAGTAAGGCAGACAGTGCTAAACCGCTATACCAAAAATATTGCTTATATAAGTTTCATGGAAATCAAATTTATACCTAATTGTACACATATAATTTCCAATAACATCGTTATTAAAACAACAGTACGTAATTAGTGACCCAGTGCAACTTGGTATCAACAACATACAATGTATTCAATTTATAACTATTGATCAGCGATTATATTATATATCGAATTAACCTTCAACCTCAAAATAAATACTGGCTGTAACTAGAATAAATTATTTTGTATTGATTTCTCTTAGATTTTAGATTTATATTTTTGTCATTGTATAGTTTAAATAGGTAGTATATTTAGTAAAGTATAATATTTTTATGTATAGAACATATAAATAAAATTAAGTGTGTCTGTTTGAAATAACAGTTTTTTACTACATGCATATGAATATAAATATGGTACATATGCAAAATAACATTTTTTACAATCTTTATCTGTCTGTTCGTTCCAGCTAATCTCTAAAATGGCTGGACCGACTTTGACGGGACTTTTTTGGCAGATAGCTGATGGAGTAACTTAGGCTACTTTTATTAGCTAGTTTTAAAATATAAACGTGTTGGCAATTAGCTGTAAATTTATATTGTGTTAATTAATTAAATAAATAAATAAGACGCGACTCTATCGCATATATGTATGTATATTCGAAGTTCTTGAACTGATTTGAAATATGTATTTCAGTCGCCAAACAGCTTGCTTTATAGTAAACTAGGTACCTCAGTCTATTATAAAGCAAGCTACTTGCCGCCTTTTTGATTAATTTTGTATATATTTTGTATAAAATATATAATAATAATAAAAAAATAAATAAATAATATGCTGAATATAAATTCATATTATTTTCTTAGATTTAATATCTGACGCGGTTTACCACTTGGAACGCCTGTTAAAGATAATTCGAAGTTGTTAAACTTATTAAACAATCCTGTAATAGCAATAAAAAATCAAAAATTGAATTATTGAAATTCAAGAGGTTTTTTAGTTTCACCAAGACTTACGTACACCAACAGATTTATATAGATAAATTCGCCGAGTTAACAAAAATATAAATAGACGACGATGGTCTAGCGGTTTAGTAAACCGCTTCCGATGGCCGCAAGTTCGATTTCGATTCGCACGGTGCAAACTTTTATATTCATGAATATGATTGTTTGTATCGGTCTGCGTGTTTTATATGTATATAAAAAAATATGTAAGTATTTATATCAGTTGTTTGGTACCCATAACACAAGCTCTATTTACCGTGGAACTAGATGGCGCTGAGTGAATTGACCAGAGTTATTTATTGAATTCATTAAGTATAAATATCAAAGGCCTTGCGCTTCTATAAGAACAATAAGTACTTATGTATTTTAAAATATATAACATAAGTAGCACTCTTGTAAATTTTGTTTGTTCATTTAACGCAAACTGTTTGTACAATGTTTGCAAATCGACAAATATTTCCACTGTACACTTTAATACTATCATATTACTGAAAATTTGCATAAATAATGTACCCATTTGCTCATAATATAATATATGCAAATATGAATTTTCTGTATACCTTATAAAATCATTAATCCAAAAGGTCTCTCACTAGATTAGTGAGTATATTACTGAAAATTTAATTTCTACCCACAAAAACGTATTGAAAACGATATCATAGTAATGATAAAGAAGTCAAAGATCTAGAGTAGTAATGATATTGTACATACATGAAACAAAACGAAAAAAAAGTATGGTCACAAATAACGTCTTCCGTAGGCTATAAAAAGAAATCAAAATACCAGACTATATAAAGGAAGTTTCACGAGGATTATCAACAAATATATTAAATTATTGGTTACTCGATAAATGTTTAGTAATGTGTTAAAGATAATAATTATGACATGTGTTCATAATTGCCCTAACAATGTTTTTAATAATTAAATAATTTAAAAATTTTCACGCCTATTGAGGCAAAACATTGGGACATGATATTCTACAATTACAATCAATGTATACCTATGTTGATTGCAAATAACTTCGATTTGATTTGATATACCTTCTAAATTACAAAAGTGGAGGGAAAGTAATTATTTGTAATGTGGACTGATAACTCCATTGCTAGCATTGTACCATGTCAGGACCTCCACGCGGTTCCTCCTAGAAATTATCGTGATAAATTCCTGGTGAAAATACCACGATGTTCTAAATGACCTGACCTCATGCTCATCTTATCATCCTACACTGGAGGCCCGCCAGTTTTAACCATTAGTGCATGCGAGTTTATCCATAAAAAATACAAAAGAACTTACTACTTTTATGCAAACACTAGATTTATATTATATCTACGTAAATACCACTCACTAGCCGGTGAAGATTCAGAGAAAAAAAACCGGAAACTGCCAAATTCAATCTGTGTCGGCCTGAGAATCGAACGTCCAGTAGGAATGGGTGTATTTTTAAAACAAATTCGAATATGAGCAG